AAACAAGAAAACATTGCGGATGGCTTGCAGAAATTAATATACTTTAAACTTCAAGTAAAACAAACTATTTTACTCAACTTAACTCCTAAGGCGCGCACATTTACCTGGAATTTATGCTACATTTTTTCTGAACGGTCCTACTGCTTGCTGTATTACCAATACAATCTAGCTTGGTCACACTGTACAGACGTGTCATTTGACGACGGCTGTAAATACATAAGTTTTTAAACTCGCGGCATTTAATGGTGCAATTGACCGCTGTGTATTATAATTGGGACTAGCTGAAGACTTCGTCAACGTTGGGATCCAGCATATTTGACAAAACATTAGAAACGCGCGCAGTTACGAGCTGCCAGGGTGCCAAACATCAGCTGGGGGCCCAGCCGATTTGGAAAAAAAGACCACACCAAAACCCAAACCAACGCTGCTTTTGTAAATAATTAGGGGGTCGGCGCTGCGGCAGCAACAACTACTTTTCAAATGGCGGGTCAAAAATTTCAATATGATGAGAGCGGCGGCACGTTTTATTACTTCGTGTTATCGTTTTTAGCTTTGGTATTGATACCAACAACGATTTACTATTGGCCACGTAAAAAGAAAGAAGGTTAGTGTCGCCGATTGTAATCAGACTGCAGCTCTCTCTTTAAGTATATGTGTTGCGTGTCTGTGTGTGTTTTTCCCAAATACAAACATGTGTTGCAAATGGACACGTTCCATTAAGTTATTCTAACAGTGCTGTCAATCGGGCGCTCAACAGTGTTGGTGAAAGCTGTGACTGCTGCAACAACAACAACAACACCTTAAGCCAGCTCACTTCACAAATGGAACACACGCACACACACACACATGCATACACCTAAAAGAGAGACAATCACATGCAGGGCTCTCGCGATATTTCTCTCTCCCTCCCTCTCTCTCACCGCAAGCGATTCTAATCTCTGCTCTCTTTTCGCACAGATCTCGGCAAGCAGAAGGATGAATGCCAATGTCCAGATTGCTTGAAGAAGAAGATCATTTTGGCCAATGCGGAGCCTTATCGCACACTCAAATCGCTGGCCATCAAGCTGGCGATTGTGCTCGGCTGGGCGCTGCTTCTGTTCCTCACCTATCGCGTCTCTCAGTTCGACTACGAGATGGCGAGCTTTGATCCGTTCGAGATACTGAATGTGCCGCCGACAGCAACGCAGGCGGAGATCAAGAAGGCCTACTACAAGCTGTCCAAGGTACTCCATCCCGATAAGGAGACGGGCGATGAGAAGTCCTTCATGATGCTGAGCAAAGCGTATCAGGCGCTCACCGACGATGTGGCCAAGGAGAACTATGAAAAATACGGCAATCCCGATGGCCCCGGTGCCATGTCTTTCGGCATTGCGTTGCCCTCGTGGATTGTCGAGAAGGAGAACAGCGTCTGGGTCCTGGGTCTCTATGGACTGGTCTTTATGGTGGCCATGCCCTCCGCTGTGGGCGTCTGGTGGTATCGCTCTATACGCTTCAGCGGCGACAAGGTCCTCCTGGACACCACACAAATGTACTTCTATTTTATACACAAGACACCTCATATGCTGCTCAAACGCGCCTTGATGGTGCTGGCGGCCAGTCTGGAGTTCGATAAGCGCCACAATTCGCAGGTGGTGGAGCGCCAGTCGGACAACGACGAGGTTCCAGCGGTACGTATCTAAAATCCTGTTAATGCATAAAGTTAACAGAAATGTACACTTCATGATAACAGCTGTAACCTAACAGCGTGCTAGCAGAGCATTTCTCTATTATTTCAATTCCCTGCACAGCCTATGTACACTTCATGTTAACAGCTGTAAACTAACAGCACTGTTAAATCCTTAAACATATTTAACATTTCTTAATTCAATTTCCCGCACAGCTTATTCGGCAGCTACCCAATCTCAACGAAAAGTGCAAGGAGCATCCGCTCTGCCGCATGTATTCCATTAAGGCGCGCGCCATTCTGCACGCCCATCTCTCACGCATTCCACTTAATCCGGAGACGCTGGAGCGCGATCGTCAGTTTATTGTGAAGAAGTGTCCGTATCTGGTGCAGGAGATGGTCAGCTGTGTCCATCAGCTGGTCATGATGGCCTACGCGCGCCGTGTGCCCCGCCTGCCCAGCATTGAGACGATCGAGAACTGCATGAAAATGTCGCCCATAATTATACAGGGCCTGTGGGAGTTCAAGTCGCCGCTGCTGCAGCTGCCCCATCTGACTGAGGATCATTTGTACTTCATGAACAAGAAGCGGCATGTAAAGAACTTGCAACAGTTCGCCCAGCTGAAGCCGGAGGAGAGCCGCATGCTGCTCAAGAACTTGACAGACTTTGAGTATGAGAATATAATGCGTGTCCTGGGCAAGATGCCGCTGATTGACTTCTCCATACGCTGCGAGGTGATCGACGATGAGAACACGAATGTGGTTACGGCTGGTGCAATCGTAACGGTAACCGTGACCCTGGAGCGCAAGGACATGAGGACCTTGTTCGGCGATACGAAGGTGCCCGAGAAGCAGGGCATCAAGGACGAGGCCAACGAGGAGGCAGCGGCGGGCGATGATGATGAAGCAGCCGCAGCCGCCGCCGCCGCCGCTGCGGTGCCCGTTAAGAAGGCCTCCGCCTGGGCCAAGCCGCGCAAGGGCGGCAAGGGCAAGGGCGGCAAGAAGCCGGCCAACAATCAGAAGAAGAAGACGCAGCCCAAGCCGGCAGCTGTGCCAGCCACCGTGGCGACGACAACCACAACGGATGAGCAAACGGCAGCCAATTCCGATGCCGATTCGGATGCCGGCGAGCAGCACAGCGATGTGGAGTCTGCCGCCGGCTCCGGTTCCGAGGATGAGGATAAGCAAAACAAAAACAATTCCTCGCTGGACGATGACGACGACGAGGAATGGGAACGCCTGCAGGCAAAGCTAAACAAGCGCGAACGCCTCGAGGGCAAATCGCGCATGTCGCACACGGTGCACTGTCCGTTCTTTCCGGAGGAGAAGCAGGAGTACTGGTGGACATACATATGCGATCGCAAGTCGCGCACTTTGCTTACGGCGCCCTACCATGTCACAAATCTCGTCGAGAAGGAGGAGATACAGCTTAAGTTTACGGCGCCGCGTTGGCCCGGCGTCTACACCTTTACGGTCTGCCTGCGATCCGGTGAGTCCGCCCGGCTATAAATCCAAGCGGATTCCACTAATAGATGTTGTTGCTTTTCATTTTACAGATTCGTATCTGGGCATGGACCAGCAGCAGGAGCTGAAGCTGGACGTGCAAAAGGCGCCCGCACCACCGACAGATCATCCCCAATGGGATCTCAGCGAGTCGGAGCCGGAGCACAATGATCAGCAGGAGAACCTAAGCGATTACACAACCGACACATCCGACGAGGAGGATAGCGATTAGACAAGAGAGAGATAGAGAGAGGATAGAGAGAGAGTAAAAGAGAGCGAGCGCGAGAGTGAGAGATTCTCATGACATTGAGCGAATTTCCCCCCTCCAAACAAAACAATCGTCTTTTAATCTCCTGAGTTTTTGATTTTGTTTTGCCCCCTTTTCTTTTTAATTAGTAAATCAATTTGCGTTGCGAAAATTATTCGCATATTCTTTTTAACTAGTTTTTGTAATTAAAAAAACAAAAAAAAACAAACGAACATGGATAAAGAGCCCGAAACTAGAGCGTAAATAAATAAGTAAAAAAAAACTTCATTTTAATGTCTCTGTACTAAACGTAATTATAAATGTACTGTATATTTAATTATTTGGATACAAAAGAAAAACAGAAATTGACACAATGCGTCAATAAGTGAAACATAGAATATAAAGAGAAAACAAAACAAAAAAAAAAAACAATTTTCAAAATAAAAACAAGATAAGGAGTTGAGATTACGGTACTTTTCCTTCTTCCTCTTTCTACTGCGCAGCTGCTTCGCGTTCGCTGTCCAAAAGCTGAGCCGAAGTCGAGTTCGATTCGGGGCTAACGGTTGGAACCGGAACCGGAACTGGAACCGGAGCGGCTGCTGTTGTTAATGTTGCTTTTAGCTGTGGGAGAAAGTTATAAATTCGTGTAAATTCTGTTTGCTTTGCGCGCATTTTCTTTACCCTCCACCAGAGATTTTTATTATTAGTAGTTTCTTTGGTTTTGCTTTTGTTTTTTTTTTCTTATTTACAATACATGTTCACTATTTGCTAATGTGTGCGTGTATGTATGTGTGTGAGTGCTCTCTAAGCGGTGGTCTACATGTGTGCGAGGCGGTTTTTTTTATGTGTGTGTGCGGGTTTGGTTCATTGTGTTGTGGTTCATTTCGTTCGTAGGTTGTGGTTCGTCGGTTTATAACCTCCATTTCTTTTTATAGTTACTCTTCTTTGTTCTCTTCTTCGTCAGAGGGTGTTTTTGCTTCGTCATCTTTAATTTCTTTCTTTTCCGCAGTTTCTTCTGTTTTTTCTTCAGATTCTTGTTCTACTTTATCCTCTGTAGCTTTTTCCTCTTTATCTTCCGTAGCTTCTTCTACTTTATCTTCCGTAATTTTTTCTACTTTATCTTCCGTAGCTTCTTCTACTTTATCTTCCTTCGTTTCTTCTTCTACTTTTTCTACTTCTGTATCTGCTTCAGATTCTTCCTCGACTTTCTCTTCTGTTTTTTCTTTTGATTCTTCCTCAACTTTGTCGTCTGTAATATCTTTAGAAACTTCTTCCTTGTCATCGGAACTGTCTTGTGATTCTTCTACTTTATCTTTCTTTTCTTCTTCGACATCTTGCGGCTCCTCTTCTGTTGTAGAATCATCAGTTTTACTTTTTGCTTCAGTTTCTTCGGCGGATTTTACATCATCTTCCGTTTTTTCCTTGCCTGGTTCTTCCACCTCTTCTTCCTCTTCCTCTGATTCTTCCACCTCTTCGGCTGTTGCGCTTTCTGAAGTTTCTTTCGGTTCTTCCGCAGCAGCAACCTTTTCGACTTTTTCTTTCTCTTCTTCCGCTGAGGAGTCTTTTGGTTTCTTTTCAGCTGAGGAATCTTCCGGCTTCTCTTCCTCTGCATTAGAATCGGCGGTTGATTTTTCTTCAGTTTCTTTTTTATCCTCTACTTTTTCTTCAGTTTCTTCGTCTACTTCTTCTGTCTTATCTTCAGTTTTGTCATTCTTACTCTCTTCAAGATCTTTCGTTTTCTCCTTCGTTTCGTCTTCGGCATCTTCAGACTTCTCTTCTTTGGACTTTTCCTTTGACTCGTCTCCCGGATTCTCCGCAGTTTCTTTCGTTTCCTTACCTTCACCCTCTTTCTCATCCGATTCCTTTGCATCATTCTCTTTCTCATCATCTGTTTTGTCTGTCTCAGCATTGGGGGAAAGTTAGAATTAGTGTCCCAAAGGATCGCAACCTTTACATTACCTGTGGATTCCGCTTTCTTTTCTTCGGATTCTGATTCTCCGTTACCTTCTGCGGCTGCGGTTTCAGTCTGTTGTGGGGATTGGTGTTTAAAGTGCGGATGTGGTGCATTTCAGTGAGTATTTTTGTTGTAGGGTATGGCAAGGGATGGTAAAAATGGGTAAATGTATATACAAAATCGGTCAAAATTCGCAAATACTATTCAAATCAGCTTTAACTTTACAGCTGTAACGTGCCTGATTAGCTTCTCGATCGCATTTAGAGGTCTAATGTTAACATTCGAGCATGCATTACACAACATTTAGGTTTTACCTTTTCTTCACTATTCTCATCTTTTTTGTCTGCATCATCGCCCTCTTTAGCTTCTTTATCCTTATCTTCACTCGTTTGCTCGCTATCTTCTTCCTTTTGCTTTGAAAATTGACGAGCGCAATATGTTAACATTACAATTTACAAAATGGATCGCTGTTATCTTACATGCGCTGTTAAACAACAGCTTTCGAGGCGCGGCTTGTGCTGTTGCGTTGTGTTTAGTGTGTGTTATAAAAGCTTTTGTTGTTTTTAGTAAATACAAATATATTTCGTTTTTATTAAATATGTACTTATATATTCAGCGGATTTTTATGTTTTCGCATTAACATAACTCAGCCGCACAAATCGTACAGATTTTAGTTAAATACACTCTATTCAATTTAGTATTAAATTAATATGAAATTTTCTCGAGTGTGTGTGTTTTTCAACAAAATGTTATCAATACAAATGATGTTACCATACATACAAAAGTGTGTGAGTGTATTATTATAAATAAATATGCATTTTGATTAAAAGTTGTAATTTTTACCGCAGCGTGAACACAATCACTTCATAAAATTAGTGTGTAGTATGCATGTCATAAATACATATATATATATACGCTTTATATATAAATATAGTAGCTTAACTTAAAGAACCGCAGTCGTGGTAATACAGAAGCTCGAACAAACCGTTATATTGCGCCCAATTGCCGAAATGCTGTTAGAGTACATTTTGCTGTTATTGCTACTGTTAACATGGCTGGCGTCGAACTTGAATTGCGTCTCATTAGTAGAAGTTGCTGTTAATGTTAATGTTATTGTTGTTGTCATTGTGGTTGCTTCTGTGCAGGCTTATTGTTGTTGTTGTCGCGTCATAACAGTAAACAGAAAAGTACAAATTGCTCAAAGCTCTCAAACCTCTGCCTTCTCCTCGCCCGTTTCCTCGGCTGCGCCAGCTTCAGCTTCAGCTTCGGCTTCACCTTCCGCTGGAGCTTTTTTCTCCTCTTCAGCCTTCTCACCATCCTTGGCAACGCCGTTCTCCTGCTTCAGTTCGATTTGAGCACTGCTCACGGCCGTTGTATCAGCTGGCGCCAGCTTGAGGAACACCTCCAGAGTATCAATCTCGTTGGCCATATCGAAGGCATCGTAGTCGCCGCAATATTCCTCATCGTTGAAGATCTGCGGCGGCAATGGATGCCTGGGATCTGGATCGCTGACTGTGCCGCCATTGCTAGTCGATTTGTTTTGCATCATCTCCTTTTCGCCCTCCTTGCCGGGCTCTGTGATGTCAACGGTATCATACTGAATGCTCTTGCTGTCCAGGATCATCAAAACGCGCTGTTGGCGTTTTTTCACCTAAAATCGATCATAACAGTATTAAGTTTAGCTGTTAATTTGATTAGTTGGCCCATCCCTGGTTTTCAAATGCCGGCAAGCCTAAACACGAACACACACACACAATTTATCTCTCACTCGCACTTCCAGCACTTATCAGTGCATGCTTGTAATTAATTCTTGATAAACTGTTGTTGTTTTTTGTTATTGCCTACAAAAACTCACACATACAACAATGTGTACATACTCTATTTTAGACGCTGACAGTCTGAAAAGTCTACAACAATAAACAACGGAACATAAATCGCATTTAAGCTTTCCTCTTCCCCCCACCCCCCTTCATCAAGCGTTGCCGTTGTTGCTTTTGCACAATGACCGTTGTTTAAGTTCTTATTGGCAATGCGAATCAAACAAAGAGAGGGAAAAAGAAGAGTGTCACACAAATGAATCATGCAGACAAACACACTTACAAACACGTACCCACGCATACGAAAAACTGTGATCAATGAAATCTTTTACACAGACAAACAATAAGCTTATATGGAAATGTTTGCGGTCGTTGCGCTGCTTCTTGCCACCACCATCAAAACGCTCGCACACACACAAACACATACACACATGCGTATGCCAATCATAATACCCACTTGCTGTTCTGTTTTGTTGGGAGAGGCCAAACGCTAAAGAGATGACGTTTCGACTGTACGTACTACATCATCGTTCACAAACACACGCACATTCAAGCGCAAAAACAAACAAAAGGAATGTAGTGCATAAAATAGAATATGCAATTTGGTATTTCCTTATATCTGTTTCGCTAACTTAGCAAGCATTCCATTAACATTACACTGACTCCTACAATTCAATCAGACACGCACACGCATACATACATGTACGTGCATTTGTCATTATGTGTGTGCTTTTCAGCTGCCCCGCCCACACCGAAAGTGCAACACTCACCTCCTTGTTGCCGGACATGCCGCTGACGTACACTTTCAATACCATTTTTGCAATTAATTATGCGTCGTTGGTCTTTAATTTAAAGCTTTATTGGTTGCGCGAAATAAAATATTCGACTTTCACGACGATAAAAATATTTTTAGAACTTTCTTTCTTTGCTCTGCTTTTTGCTGTGTCTGTTCTTGGCCCCTACCGCGATACGTAATGTTGTTTAAAAATATGCACGCACTGGGCTAATCGTTGAGATACGCTGTAAATTGGCTGGGAAAGCGTATACAAAATGTGTACTATAAAAGTGTAAAAATTTTAATAATATAAATCGCACAAATTCACTTCGAGCTCTGCCTTTTATGCCTACTTTAGTCGTTCGATCCAGTGTGACCTAATTGAGGCGGGGTAAAAATACGAATATTTAAGACAAAAAATACTAACTGCTTAACTTGAGAAACTTACTTAGTGGGAATTCGATATTTGACAAAAAAAAATTATTTGTTATATACTTGCATGATCATCGCATGATGCACAATGATGCGCATTGAACTTTTATTGTTAAATAAATACCTAAGCACATATAACAAGATTTTGATTTTGTGAGATGAAATAATTTTAAAATAAAATTTTAAATCCGAAATTTGCTTAGCAAGCAATACATTTAATAAAGCTGCATACGAAACTTAGCAAGTCCAGTTAATCGATAATTCGTAGCGTCGATAACAGGGCTGCATCTGTGATAACGGCGTGGAAATTGTCGTATTCCCATCGCTAAACTCTCCTCTCTGTTCACGAATCGTCGTCACGCATGCATCGGTCGTCCATTTTTCGTAAGAGTCCGACAAAAAACTGAAAATTACATCGCAAAAAGACAGAAATTTCACAAATCAAATACTTTGTAACAACTTACAAACAACAGCATAGTGCATTTCAGTGGCCTTTGAAATACTGCTCAACCCAATAAGCAATAGCAATACAATTAGTTTTACAATTCAACTGAATCTGAAACGTTCGTGCGTATGTACAAAAAAAATAAATAAAACGCGTGTGAAGTGGTGCAGAAATTAAAGCGGAAGCAAACATCAATCAATGTAAGTGCAATTGTGAGCAAGAATGTCGCAGCTTGTCATTTTTTTCTTTAATGAAATCCTAAGAGCTCTGATAATGATATGCGTTGCGACCATTTTTAAAAATTTCACGAAATCAAAATTCCAACTCACAGCTGCAAGTGTGTGTGTTTGTGCGAGAGAGCGAGACAACCATTCAGCGTATAAGCTGCTGTCATTTTATTTTCTTTGAAACGAATCTTTTTTTTTTATATTTGCTTTTCGCATGGCGTTCGTCACGTAAAAAAGCACTAATAATTCATTATTAAAAATCTTTTAAATACTGTAAATGACGACAGAACACAAACGCGCAAGCTACACATGCATACCCATACAAATGTAATTTGGGTTCATTAGCAGCATGTGCGTGTGTGTGTGTGTGTGTGTGTGTGCATTAGTGAGACAGCGTTACTGTGTAAAAACAGCTGGTACAGCTCGAAGGATACGCATACGCGGTTTTATTGTTGTAGTTTTGTAGTGTGCTTGTGCCTATGCATGCGTGTGCGTGTGTGTGTGTGTGTGCGCGTGTTTGGTGGTTGACTCGCCTCGCTTGTAGTTTTCTTTGCCTTTGCCTGGTCTCTTCCTTGCGTGTGCATTGCTATGCAAGTATTGTTGTTGTTCTTGTTGTAGTAGTGTTGGAAAGTTGTTGTTGTTGGCTTGTGGTGAACACTCCCTTTAATTGGGCATCGCTGCTTCGGTTTCTTTTTAATGCCCTATCCGTCGGCCAAGCAGGCAGCTGCTGCCAAGCCATAAATCGCTGCACCATTTTCTTTTATTCTGTGCGAGTGTGTGCCTGTGCCTGTGTGTGTGTGTGTGTCAGGTGAATCCTGTTTTCCTTGAAACCAGTTTCAGATTTCTGAATTTCATTTAGTCTCAGTTGGCCGCTTCTCTAGTTTCTACAACTGATTGTTCTCCATATTTTTTTTTTCATTCACAGCGAACGCTTCCATCAAACTGTGTGGCAATAATAAGCAAAAATAAATAAAATAAAATAGATATAGAAATTTAAGAACCAAGCAATCAAATATATAAAGATATATTATTATATTTAGAGCAAGTTAACGGAGCACATTTATCATAAATATGGCATGTGCAACACTTAAACGCGCCTTGGACTGGGAGTCGCTCAACCAGCGCCCAACGAAACGTCGCCGCTGCAATCCTTTCGGGCAATCGGGCAGCAGCTCGCCCTCACGCAGTGGCAGCAATGATGCCGCCAACACCAGCTCGACGACGCCTTGCAATCGCTATGCCAAAGACAGCAATGAGCCCAGTCCATTCCTGGAGTCTACATTGGCCAAGATGTCGCCAGGTAAGCCGTATCCCCATCAATATACCTGCCCCGGCACCTGTCATCTGACGCGCTCGCTTTTGTTTTGCAGATAAAATGGCTGAGAATTTGTGCAATGAAATCAAAAGACTGCACAAGCGTAAGCAATTGCCCATTACATCGGCCGCATTGGAACGAATGCAGGACTCGGAGTCGAGCGGTTCCGAAATGGGACCGGAGAGTCCGCATCGCCCGGACAGCCCACCGAGCCATCTGATGATGCGCCACCATGGCGAGAAGGCCTTGTTCACATTCAAACAGGTGCAGCTAATATGCGAGGGCATGATCAAGGAGCGCGAGGATCAGCTACGCGAACGCTACGAATCGGTGCTGACCAACAAATTGGCCGAGCAATATGATGCCTTCGTGAAATTCACATACGATCAGATACAGCGTCGTTACGAGGCAGCGCCCAGCTGTAAGTCGAAAAATCTCTGGCCAAAATTGGAAAATGTATTTCTTTTAATCGTCTATCCTTTCAGATTTGTCGTAAGGCAGCCTAAATTCTCACTATGAAATGCACTACGATCTTATGTGACGGTGGTTCCAACCGCAACAGCAAATGCTAAAAGAAAAAAAAACAACAACATAGAAGCCCTCATTTAAAAAACAAAAAAAAAAAAAAAACTGCATTGTGTTTATTATATATTTTGAAATATAAAAGAGTTATAGTTTAAAACTAGAATTACATATATAAAAAAAAAATGTATTGAAAAAGCAACAAAAGGGAAGAAATACTTTACGGCTTAAGCGCAAAGCAAACAACAAACAAACAAAACAAAACAAAAGAAAACAAACTTGTTACATTTACGTTTTCACATAACGAAAATTCTAAATAAAAATGACAAATATCTATATAGGACGTATGAACAATACTACACAGAAAGCTAATATATAAAAAAAACAAACACTGCAAAAGGTGCAAAAAAAACACATCTATAAGGAAAAAAGCAGAATAACACACACACACAATTCAATGAAACCTCAACAGTAGCTTCGTATATATAAAGCAAAAAAGAAAAACAATAAAAAAAATTGGTAAAAAATAAAGTATATATGTTAGGTACATAGCATATAAGGTATAATTGTAAAAGGTATCAAAACTATATTGTATTTCAAAATAGCAATGATGAGGGATGACGAAACTAAAAGAAATGAACTACTCATGAAATAACTTTTTCATAGTTTATTTTTGCATAATCATTTTCCTAAACACAATTGAAGTGAGTGAATAGCATCTGTATAAAAAAAGAGAAATAAGTTTATAAATCTTAATCAATATGAATTTGTTTTTCTTCGATCGTTTGTTAATTGTTTCTTCCTTTGATGTACATTTTGCAAAGTAATGAAAACACCAGAATAATAATTCGTTTGCAATCTTGAAATTGCTTTAAAACAAGAAAACAGAAAATTTATGATTTAAGTCAAATTGAACGCTATCATATATATATATATATATATTCACGCTTGAGAAGACGTTTCATGTTCATTATAAATACTTTTCACTTGATATATACACATATATTTTTCAATTGCCGAGATCATAAATACTTTACATTAGTAATTTAATCTTAATATTAGTAAAGAAATGCCATTTTTATATTAAAATAAAAAAAAAAAGCGATGAATTGAGGAAACCAAATGGAAGTTTTAAATCAAATGCAAAAAAAGCTGAATGTATATAATTTTTGGCTATATTCAAAGTTGGCGCAAAGTTACAAGACTGTTTACATAGTGTTAAGCCATGTCACGTTTACAGACAGCGTGAAGTTGGCTGCGCGCGGATTAACGCACACGTGAACTTGGCCGCACTCCACACATAACAGCGCCGCTCCACAGGCAACATGCGCCTGTTAGCTGGCACAATAAGAAACAGACAAACACAACAAGCAGTCGCTGGAATTTAGAGAGCAACTAAATTGAACGTGTGTGTTTTGAACAACAAATGTTGAAACTCAATATTATGTGCCGCTGTATACCGAAAGCGTAATCGGCACGGCCTGCGCTTAAAATGCTGCAGCCGCTATACCAATCCGCAGACCAGACAATAGCTATCAAAATTTATTAATAATCGGTTAAATCTCTAACAAAAAAAAAAAATAGAAGAAATATACAACAACAAAAAAAGTGAGAGAGAAAAGAAAGCTTCAAAAATGTGCGACGATGAATGTGAAACTTGTGACACAGTGACTCAGCGGGCGGTGCAGGCCTCGCCGGCGAAGCCAGAAGTAACTATTGCCGAGACACAAACTGATGCCCCGTTCTGGGAGCCAAGACAACAAGCCAAAAACCCGCAGAGCAAACAAAGATCGCCGCCCGATCTGCTGCGTCTGGCCAACTGGCAGCTGGACGATGTGCAGCAATGGATGGGCACCGTGGAGCCCCATTCCAAAGATCTGCTCGAATGTTTGCGCATCGAGGCAATCGACGGCCAGGTGCTGCTCGCCCTGACGGAGGAGGATGTGCGCGATATGCGCTACAAGTTGAACTACAAGCTGACCTTTGGCGAGATGAAAAAGTTTTGGCTAACGGTTTACAATATGCAGCTACAGTGGAGGCAGGAGCAGCAGCTGCAGCAGCCGGCGCAGAAGTTGCTCTCGAATGGCGGCCCAGCCGTCTCCTCGACGCCCCTCGTCCTGGGCATTTCCAGTACTTTGGGATCTCCGACATCGCTTGGCAACGTTTTTATAACGCCCAATGTGAACCTCGAGACGTGTCCATGTCCCGAAGCACAGGACATGGCCGATGCACAGCAGGAGAAGAGCAAGCTTTTGGAGGCGCCCGAATATTTTAAGACCGCAATCAGTTTAGGTGAGCAGATGGGCTTGGTCAATTTGTGGGTCTAATCGGTCGCTTGACCAATTATAAATAACCTTGATTTCATTCATATATCTTTATCTAATTGGATTCCAATTGCCTTATCAGTTTTCCAATTGAATGTGTCTATGTGTGTGTGCGTGTGCGTGTGTACGTCACATTAATTATAAATTTAGTTACAGTTTTATTACGCCAGTGACGCGCGCTCTGCTGTTATTTCGATTTGGAGGTTAAGCATACATATGTAAATGCATATGTCTCTCTCCCACTTACATTCTCTATGTTTTGTTTGCTGCATGTGCTAGTATATTTGTTGTTGTTGTTGTTTTCTTTTTATATTCGTTTTTGTGTAACTTTGCGTGCACAGATTTTCAAAAAGTCGTACACGCCTTCGGCAAAGAGCATGAGCACTTTGTCATCGAATTTGTTTATATTTCAGAATATATGGTTTCTTTAAAAGGGTTTTAGCACACTTTAAAATATACTAATCTGTTGTTTAATAGAAAAATGCACAGTTCTAGGCACACTTCCTTTGGGTAGTTTTGAATAATAGCGCCAATTTGTATAATTTTTTACCTTAAAATTATATATATTTTTTCTGATTTAGCCAAGTGTGTTTACATTAGCATAATTTGTTGTTCGATATAACAGTTTACACTAGTGGTCTCATATTATGTGCCTTCTTCAAATTGCATACAGTCTCGTCCCACCAAGTGTTCCAGGCATCGCTAGCTTTTCTGCTGAATGCGCTGTGAGACTCAATTACTTGTTTATTTATGTTAGCCCGAATGTCTTACTCAGCCCCGTCTCAATTGCGCCCCGTTGCAGGCTACTCTTTCATGGTCACTTGGATAACATCGTTTGTGATGGTGATCGTGCACGAGCGTGTGCCCGATATGAAACGTTATCCCCCACTGCCGGATATATTCCTCGACAATGTGCCGCACATACCCTGGGCTTTCAATATGTGCGAAATAACCGGTTCGCTATTGTTCACGATTTGGCTGATTGTCCTAATCTTCCACAAATATCGGATGGTCCTGCTGCGTCGTTTCTTTGCACTGGCCGGCACCGTGTTCCTGCTCCGGTGCGTCACCATGCTGATCACATCGCTGAGTGTGCCGGGCACACACTTGCAGTGCAACCAGAAGGACTTTGCCATCGACGATCCGAATGTGGATGTGTTTGGCGCCCTGGTAATACGGATGACGCGCGCCTATCGCATCTGGAGCGGCCTGGGCATGTCCATACAGGGTGTGCGCACGTGCGGCGATTATATGTTCAGTGGTCATACGGTGGCCTTGACGCTGCTCAACTTTTTCATCACGGAATGTGAGTAGAGTCGCCTCCTTCTTTTATCTAATTGCAGTTTTTTTAATTTGACTTTGTTGCATTGCAGATACGCCGCGCAATCTTTACTTCCTGCACACGTTGACCTGGCTGCTGAACATGTTCGGCATCTTCTTTATACTGGCTGCCCATGAGCATTACTCGATCGATGTATTTGTTGCCTTTTATATAACCTCCCGACTATTTCTCTACTATCACACGCTGGCCAACAATCGGGCAAGTATTTGGACAGTTCATGTAGTCCCTTATCTAACTGAATTTAATCCTTTTAGGCCCTCATGCAGAGCGACTCGACGCGCACGCGCATTTGGTTTCCCATGTTTAGCTACTTTGAGAGCTCTGTGGAGGGCATTATACCCAATGAATTTGATACGCCTGGCACGCTGATGGATTCATTTGTGCAGCAGATCGTTCGTATCAAGGATGAAGCTGTGTTTATTGCCAATCGGATGTGGTTGGCCAGGCAAATGGAATCGGAGAGGTCAACATTGGACATATTTCGTACCTCCGAGCCGGATAACAAAAATCGTCCGATGGGCAGCAATTTGCGCAAGTCTTCCACGCAGGCACCGCAACAGTTTAAGCGGACAACAAAGGATACAGTCGCCACAGTTGTTGCAACCGATTTGAGAACTTCGTTCACAGAGAAGAAAGTGCTCTGAGTCTTCCAGCTGCATCACAATTCTTATTTGTTTATCGTCGTTCCATGAATGAATCAAAACATTGCGGAGAAAGAAAAACACACACACACACACACACACTCAGACACTCGAACACACACCGACTGATAATTTGTACTTTTAAAATTGATACTAATACTTTTCCCCTTACAGCACCTGTTTCTGTATTATCATATATATATATATGTATATATCTATGCATATATGTATATACCACTCGTAGTGCCTTTCGGGTAGTCTCAACTTCCACACAGCAAGCCCTCCTTCTCTTAGATAAATAACTTTTAGTTAACAAACTGGATAAACGTATCAGTCAATCGCATGGAATTGTACTATGAAAAATGTACTGTTTAGCTAATTGATGATAATCCTCATTCCGCTCAGTTTAGTTTTATAATTGAAGACTATTTAATGCATTATTATGTAATTATAAGCATGTACAACAACTTTAAGTTATTTAGTCGTAAGTTACAAAGTTTCTGTTGAACGCACAAACTCAATAAATCAAAATTTCATATGTGAAGTGCAAAAGTGCTTAGTTGACATTTAGTAATTATTCGAACTCAAATTATGCCGCGCACTCGCTTACGTTCGATAGTTTACTCGATAGTAGTATTTTAATACTATTCTAGCCGATAATTAATCGTCGAACTAAGCAGCTGATTTTGTTAGCCCATTTTCAATGTATTTTTATACATTAAATCATTTTGAATGCAAACGGAAGTGTATTCTATAAACTATTTGTTTTAATAAGTTATCGAGTGATAAACAAATTATTTTTAAATATTTAACGTTTGACTCATTACGAACACTGCAGCGATATTCGATAATTGGCGTGCAACGCGACTGGCGATTGCCACTTCTTCTTCTTTCCAAGCGTCGGCGTCGTATTTTTAGCGGTTAACGCGAAATAATTCTCGTGTGAATTTTGGCAGTTCTTAATTTGCCCACACAGAATATGAAGAAAATCAAACCACTACTGCACGACCATTTAATAACTAATCGTGTTAAGCAGGTAATTATTAAAAGATTCAGCTATCTGTCAATAGTTAATTTACGACAAGCAACCGGCAAGTCAATTGCAAGCAAAAAAAAATAACACAAAAGCAAGGTTAGATTTTGACAGACGATTGCAATTTGTAAGTTTTTTTTCTTGTTTGCACTATCATTTAATGGCAGTATTTGGAAGAGCACATTGACGAAACCTACTTGGATGTGAAGCAGATGACCAAAGAGTTGATGCGCAAATATCCTGAATATTCTCGTCGCAAATTTGGACCATTCAGACAACTTGTGCATCAAGGTAAGAGCCAAAAGTAAATATTAGTAAAATGACTGCGCATGACATGCCCGCATACGCAGAGGGCAATGTAACAAATGCCGTTTGCCACATTGCAATTATATTTGGGGTAGGGCAAAGCATGCCACATGCAGCATGTGGCCAGCGCAAGACTGCGGCCCGGAATGCTAGCCCCTAGCTTCTCATGAAATGTGCAACACATTTTCGTCTAGCCTCGTGTGCCTAACATCTACTATATTCCACTATTTGTTATCTTTCTCGGCTACGCAGCATTTTCTATTGTTTCCGACAGCTATAACTTGGATAAGGCGAGCAGCTCAGACGACGACGAAGACGAACTATCTGACGAAACAGACGCGCCCAATAATAGCATCATGAATAACTTAATGCAGGGATTGTACAACAATACAACAACAGTTCGCATAGCGCCATCCACAAAGCCGACGAGCAGCGAGCCAATTGACATTTCTAGCGGGGATGAAAACGATGACGGGCCCATAAGTCCGGCAAATGGTGGTGGAACTGGTGCCCTCGTCATAGCGCCCGCTAAAGCGATGAAGCGTCCGCTGGACGCCGGCCAGTCGCCGGCTGGCGTACAGGCCAAGAAATGTAAGTTAATCGACAGTTGAACGCACTTATGACACATTTATAGATAAAAATACGCGTTTTGAACTCTTTGAAGCCTCCCGTCAAGATGGCATGCCGGGCGTTAATTCCGCAACGGGTCAAATGACGCCCAAGAAGTGTGAGTAGCAAAGGATCACAGTCGGTTAGTCCCTTATTAACCCCTTATTCTCTCTGTCTTTTAGTTGTGGCCGTTACGGCTAGCCTGGGCAAGGGCAACTCTGAGGCTGGACCCAGCAAAGAGCCGCCGCATCATGGACCACCGCATGGCTATCAACAGCATCAGCAGCATTCACAATATCAGCAGCAGCATTCGCGCGACTTTTCCGATCGCGGTCAGATGCGTGTGCGCAAATACAAAAAGGAACTGGAGATCGCACGCACCTCAGAGAGTTTCCGTGATATTGGTGGCATGGATGGCACACTCAAAGAACTGTGCGAAATGCTCATACATATCAAATCACCCGAATTTTATTTCCAACTCGGTTTGCTGCCCTCACGTGGCCTTCTGCTCCACGGACCGCCGGGCTGTGGCAAAACCTATCTGGCACGCGCTATTGCGGGCGTAAGTAGCGGGCGAAATATAATTATTAATGCATATTAATTAACAAATACTTTCCTCGTTTTAGCAATTGAAAATGCCACTGCTGGAGGTGCCTGCCACCGAGCTGATTGGCGGCATTTCTGGCGAGTCCGAGGAGCGTATACGCGATGTCTTCGATCAGGCCATTGATAATTCGCCGTGCGTGCTCTTTATTGATGAAATCGATGCCATTGCCGGCAATCGTCAATGGGCCTCCAAGGATATGGAACGTCGCATTGTTTCACAGCTCATAACCAGTTTGGATCAGCTGAAGGCCACCGAGTTTGGCCAATCTGTGGTGGTTATTGCGGCCACAACGCGTCCGGACACACTGGATCCGGGTCTGCGGCGCATCGGACGCTTTGATCATGAAATCGCCATACACATTCCTTCGCGCAAGGAGCGCCGTGAGATCTTACGCATTCAGTGCGAGGGTCTGTCCGTTGATCCCAAGCTCAACTACGATAAAATTGCCGAACTGACGCCCGGCTATGTGGGCGCCGATCTGCTGGCCTTGGTCTCGCGTGCCGCCACCATTGCCGTCAAGCGGCGTTCGATGAAGAAGTTCCGGGAGTTGCACGCAGCCAGCGAACTGAACATGACCACTGTCACGCTGGACGACGATGAACCCATCGATCCCAAGCCGGATGAGCAGGCAAAGAAGAAGACAGCTGATGTTGATAAACCCAGCGCGGATGCCGACAAGCCCAGTTCGGAAATTGAGGATAAGCCAAGCTCGGAAGCCGAAAAGCCTGAAGCCACAAATGGCGAAAAGGCAAATGATGTGAGCGAAGCTGCTGTTCCCATGGACGTAGAAGACAAAGGGGATGCTGCTCCAGCAGAAGCAGCAGAACCTGAGCCCAAGCAGAAAGCCGAAACTATTGCTAAGTCGCCCGTCGAAGCTGATGATTTTTACGAGCCCACGTTGGCCGAGTTGACGAATTTCCTGGACAATCCGCCCGAGGAATTTTCCGATCCGCATTTCTGTCTGACATTGGATGACTTTATGGCGGCCGTTAAGGTCATGCAGCCGTCGGCCAAGCGTGAAGGCTTCATCACTGTGCCGGACACCACCTGGGAGGATATTGGCTCCTTGCATGACATACGCGAAGAGCTGAAGCTGGCTGTGCTGGCGCCCGTCAAGTATCCGGAGATGCTGGCACGCCTCGGCCTCGAGGCGCCATCGGGTGTGCTGCTCTGCGGCCCGCCCGGCTGCGGCAAAACTTTGCTGGCCAAGGCCATTGCCAACGAGGCGGGCATTAATTTTATATCCGTCAAAGGACCCGAATTGATGAACATGGTAAAGCAATCTGTGTAATCCATTGTCAGCTTCCTTCCTAATTTGCATCTTCCATGTGCAGTATGTGGGCGAGAGCGAGCGTGCGGTGCGCGCTTGCTTCCAACGCGCCAGAAACTCGGCGCCCTGCGTCATCTTCTTTGATGAGTTCGATTCGCTGTGCCCCAAGCGCTCGGATGGCGGCGATGGCAACAATTCCGGCACGCGTATTGTCAATCAGCTGCTCACCGAAATGGATGGCGTTGAGGAGCGCAAAGGTGTCTATGTACTGGCGGCCACCAATCGACCGGACATTATTGATCCGGCCATATTGCGTCCGGGCCGCTTGGATACTATATTGTATGTGGGTTTGCCGCAGGAGCAGGAGCGTGTGGACATACTTAAAGCCACCACCAAGGTGAGTAGCGAGAGAAACGAACGTTGGCTAAGAAAATTTACTAATTCTGAAATGTTTGCAACCAAACCAAAGGATGGCAAACGTCCGGTGCTGGCTGATGATGTCAATTTGGAGGAGCTGGCCGCACAAACCGATGGCTACACGGGCGCCGATTTGGCCGGTCTGGTGAAGCAGGCTTCGATGTTTTCGCTGCGCCAATCGCTGAACAACGGCAACACCAAAGTCGATGAACTGTGCGTGTGCAAACAGCATTTCGAGGAGGCGCTCAAGCAGCTGCGTCCCTCGGTTAGCGAGCAGGTAAGCTGTTCCCTGTGCCACCAGCTGTACATCTATTAATTCCGTATTTTTATTGCTTGACAGGATCGCAAGGTGTACGAGAAGCTGCGTCAGAAGTATGCAGCACCGCGTGTGCCGTCGCTTGAGACCAAGTGAATACCTCAATGCTTGGCACTGTTGTACTAGTATTTAAGAGATCACACACACACACACACACACACAATCGGAAAGATTGCGCATATTCCTCATTTGATTTAGAATGTACAAAATCCAGTCCAAATGGAGCAACCAAATACGGAGAAACACACACAACACACAAATACAGAATAAAAATGCCCAAGCGAAATAAACTTTGGGACCAAGCCCAGGACGTTTGTCTATACTTTTAATACATATATGTAACTACGCACACACACGCGCACACACACTATTTTCGCCTAGTCGCTAGGTAGTCAGTCAATTAGGATGGCCCATCGCCGTGCCCATCACGTGTTATCAGCGGCGCTGTCGTGGCCCGTCGCGTTGGAACGGTTGCCTGACCCAGGTGCCGCTTCTGCAGCTCCAGAATTTCGGCATGTTGCGTGAGCAACGAACGCTTGGAACGCTTCTTGGTCTTTTTCTTTTGCGGCGATTTCTTTTTACCCTCACTGTTGCTGACATTGGAGGGACTGTCGCCGCCGCCCGAATTGCCCGCACCCGGCGGCTTGGGCGCCATGGGCTCCTCGTCACGTCGAATGCGCTGCCGCAAATCGAACGCACTTTTGCACATCTCACGTATGCCGAACCAGCTCTCGTGTCCAATCTGACTGATCATTTCGACGGGCGGCTGGAAGCCCAGCTCACGCGACGGCAGCTCCATGACCAGCGCCATTGGCGCCTTCAATACACCGTAAACATAGTCCACCACGGAGCCGGCAATGGTGCGTTTGGTCAGGCAGCTGATGCTGCCCGTACGATATTCGCGTCCATTGTAGGACTTGATGGCGGTCCGCCCGGTGGTGGCCAGTGTGTGCAGTTCGCGCCAATAATACGGCGCCTCGCGACAATAGCCCCAGGGATACATGATGCTCTGGCCGTAGGAGTGCAGCGACAGAAAGAACAACAAATTCGGCGCCAGGCAGTCCAGTATGTTGCGCATGGCACGTGTTTCCGGCTCGGAGAAGGGCCGTTCACCCTTGTACGTGTTGCGATTCGTTTTCGTGGGTCCGCACTCCCAGAAAATGTCATAGTTCCGATTGCAATCGGTGCCCACAATTTTGGAGGCCTTATGCGGTCGCCGATTCTTGCGCCAATTGTGATTCTGCGAGAGCATAAAAGAAGCGGGATTAGTAAGAGTCGCGGCCAGCTGTGTCTGCCCACCTTGGTGCGTGAGTATTCGTAGCCATCGGGATTCACCAGCGGCACAATGATGAAGCGCAAATTGCGCAGCACCTCGATGTTCCGTGTATATCGTTCCGTTAGCTGGTAAATGCAATTGAGACTCGTGCTGACCGTAATCCATTCGCGGGCATGTGTGCCCGCCTCTATGAAAATGATATTGCGATGCTTGTCGCCCGGCAGCACCATGGGACCCTTGGCCCCGCTGCTCTTGTGCAGCTCAGCCTGCTTGGCCGCCTGCATGCGCATCACGGACGACAGCTCCACATTGTCGGCATTCATCCAATTGATTTCCACGGCGCGCACCTCGCGCTTCTCGTGCGTAATGCCCAGCGTGTAGAGCTTGACGAAATTCGAATACCGATGCACAATATACTCCAAATACTGATTGATCTGGCTGTACTCCAAATAGGTGTGCAGCACATCCGGACGTGGTATGACCATACGGCGGGACGCCTGCACGGGCACCGTAATCGCGGTCAACTTGGGCGCAGCTCGCCCCTTTGACTTCTTGGCGCGTTTTGTGGTTTGCATATTAATTTTAAAAAATTACCAATAGAAAAATTAACCAAGAAAAACAGTTAAGAACGGTAAAGAATTGGCACTAAAAATTTTTGTATCTATTTCCACACAACAAATCAGCAAAGTGAATACTAAATGAATTTATATTATTATATTGTTTTTTTTTTATGGTACGCCTGCTGGAGCTACTTCAAATGCGCCAAGGCCTGCTTGGATGCCTCGGGAATCTCACCTGGCGCTCGACCTGCAGCAGCTGCTCGACAATCCCGATACGTGCGAGCCCCTTGGGCCTGGCTGCCATTGTGCTAGCCAAACCGTTTGCCAGCCGGAGTTTTTATCAACATTGTGTGCATTATGGAAAAGTGGATCATCTATGGTCTTTGATGGGGGCGTGGGCGTGGGCGGAGGCGGAGGCGTGCATGGAGTTCGCATTTGGTAAATTGGGACAGCGACAACGTTTAATAAGTTGGGCACGGCAGCTTGTAATGCGGAATTGGATTTGTATATCCGCTCTGGTTCTGGGGTCTGCAACTGGCGCTGCCACAAAACGCAAATATGCTAAATGTCAGACTGACTGCTTGGGATCCCGCTGTTGGAGGGAGTCGGCCAAAAGCGCAGGCACGTGCTATGCAAATAAACAAGGAAGCGTACGGCCAGAACCAAAAGCCTCCCAAACATTGGCGTGCCGTCCCGGAAACGGAGCAGTTTGTAGCCCCGTGGAACAGGCCTTAAAGCATTCTAGACAAGAAAATTCATTTTGCAGATTGCCTCTAAATAACACTGTGCTACACAGGAATTACCCCAAAACTGTATGCGTAAAAATTGGTAAGACTTATTTAAATTCATGAGAATCGCATAGGAGGGCAATATTGTGAAATACATATTTATTGAGCGCAGGAAATGTAAGCTAGATCTGCGCTGGGTATATGAGAACATATCATAAATTGATTTAAGATAGATTTAACTAAAACATCAAAATTTGTGAGCATGAGATTCGCAGAGAGGGGTGCTGTTTAAAAACCTTTTATTTAATACTTTTCAATAACCTTTTCGGCCATTGCACGAATTCCTATCCAGGTTTCAGTTACAAACTCATCGATCTTGCTGGCCGGCGGATCAAAGCCTGTTACGCCACCTCCACTCAATTCCATGGTGATCGATATATTGAAGCCGGCGTAGAAGGCATAGTCGTGACTGACGCCAGCGGCTATGTACAACACATTCGTGGTGCTACCCACCTCGTATACCGTACCGGTTGCCTTCTCTATGGCATCTCCACCAGCACGTGCCACGTCATCGAGATCCTGCCAAGTTGCGGGCAAATCGCTGCAATGTAAATCAGCTAAATCATAAGCATAAGAAAACAGAAGGAAATTAAGCTACAAACCTGGTCCAACCCCACGGGTAGAGCAAGTAATTGCCATAGGAATGGATGGTCAGGTACATAATGCCGCGATTCGCCAGCGAATGCATCAGATCGCGCACCACAATTGTCTCTGGCTCGGAGAAAGCGGTGGGTCCAGCAAAGGTATCACTGCAGGGATTCGATGAGGCACCCTCCTCATTCCAATGGAAATCAAAATTGCGATTAGGATCGGCGCCATAACAGGTCTGGCCCAGATACTGATAGGGTTGACGAGTCTTGCGAAATATGCGAGCATAGGTGCCTGTCTGGGTGTGCTCATAGCCGTCCGCGTTAACCACTGGCAAAATGATCCAGTCGTAGTCCTGCAGCAAATCGGCATTCTCTTCGAACTGTTCCACCAATTGTTCAATGACATACAGCACAGCTGCTGGCGAGATCCATTCGCGTGCATGGAAGCCGCCGTCCATGAAGATGACCTTCTTGTTGGCACGACCATCCCCATTGGTGATGGTAATGGTCTTCAGTTCGCGCTTCTCATATGACCAGCCGACAGTCTTGACGAGCACACGCGACGGGTAGCGAGCGGCCAGGTCATTAATATAGTTGGTGATCTCCTCATGTGAATAGTAGCGCTCCGTGCTGAGGCGACCCTTGCCCGAAATAGGGGCGAGGCGTCGCTGAAGCTGCCGCTGGGCAAACTCCGCTGCAATCGTGGCGCCCAGGTTGTCATTGAGCAGGCGATGACTCAACTGCTCTTCCGACAGCAACGCCTCGAAGCTGTCCAGCTGCTCAGGACTCACAATGACGCGTGAAGATTTACCTAACAATCGAGGTAAACTTAGGAAGTCGTAACCCTGGAGACTAAGCCTGTGCAGCAGCTCTCCCTGTGCAGCTGTGGTAGGTGTCAGCTCATAGATGCGATAACTGCAAGCAACAGTTGCTCAGGACTAAACAGCTAAAGATCCTTGATCGACTCACCCCTCATAGTCTTGTTTGGCGGCTACCAGAGCCAAGCACAACAGCAGTGTCAGCAAGCCCAAACGCGACATGGTTACACGCAACGCGAAGTCCCGCACTTATATACCCCAATCATATCTTATCTGAACTCGAAAGCGATCTATAAATTAGAATCGTATCTATTGTGCAAAACCAAAATCAAAGATGGACTTTATTCTGTCATTATCATGGGAATTACTTGGGATTTTATTTAAAATGTCTCTTTTTATTATTCAAGTTCGTTTTGAGAAATGGTAAAGTATAAGATTAGTACATATCAACCCATTCCCCTATTACTTTAATTCGCGTTCATTTAAATATATTCTTTTCTTTTTACATATTTTTTTTTTTTAAATCATTTCCATACCGAGAAGCTATTAGATTCCAGAAAGAAGTAAAGACTCATAGGAACAGTGGAATGTGGAACAGTTCAATTTCACTTGCGTTAACTTTTCACTGAATTTGGAACAGGTGAGTTTGAAAACGGACAGTTAGTTCTATTTCAATTAGCAATTCAGTTATCCTTCGCTTTTTAAACTATATAGCTTCTATATATATTTTATTCAAATTATTTAGATGAAATATGTTTTTGGTTGGACAGTGTAACTTGGTGCCCGACAAATGTCATGTCAACGCAAAAGTGAAAAGTCCGGGGTCGGAACAATCGGAACAATCGGCGCAGATATGTGTATATATATATACAAACCGACAAACAAATATGTATTTACATACAAATATCCGAATGCATTTGCGGGAACATCGCCCAGGACGCAACCAGTTGATTTATATGGAAAACAAGGTTCGTGTTGATTTTCATTTAACGGTCTTTTAGTCAACTTCCTGACACAGTGACTGCCATATATTTACGTCTATGCTACATAATATCGGTACGTCAATATACCCTGTAAAATGTAGACATTCAGGAAATGCAACTTAATACTAGAAATATATTTGATGCTGTTCAGATAGTTAAACAAGCTCAAGGATATTTTTGGGATTTATTTCAAGTATACCCTTAATGCATTGAAGAAAGGTTTTTTAAATGGGTTTTATTGCCAGGCAACCTTCTGGATTGCTCAGTGCAGGCTATCTGTCAGTCGTGAACATGCTGTCATAAATAAAAATTATTCCCTTTGGTTTCTTTTTTGTTGGTTCTACTTGCCAGAGACACGCAAGGACTCAGACAGGCTGCCAGTCAGTTCGTCCTGTTGGGGGGGCGTTTCTGAAGTATGCACATTATGTCATTAGCATGTTGGCAAAAATAAAAAGGGCTAAAAGTTTTTTATTCTATTTTTTTTGGGAACGCCAAATAAAAAATTCTAGCTTAAATGTTCCCTGTTGTCGTTTCGTCCCTTTTGGGCCTGGCAGCTTTTTCGGGCATTTGATGACGAAATAAAACTGGCTGCAAATTAACAAAATTCCAGCAATTATGCGAAAATAACATAAACGAAAATTGTCAGTTTGGCTTGCTCCAAACCTGCCCCAACATGGAACGACATGAACTCGTACAGGGAAAATAGAAATTATTATGCCTGCATATTTATGCATTTTGGCATAGTTGGATGGCGTATAAAGTTATGTCGTCAGTTTGACAGGTAGTTACAAATTTATGCTGTCTTATTTAACCTACTGCCACAGTCTCGGTTAACATGAACAGTCGCGTCCAAAATAAGGGGCATTCAAACAAAGTTGTTAAAGCAAAGATGGTAAACTAGACTAAAGTAAGAAAAAAGATGAAATACCTTAACTTTCTACAGTTTCGCAGATATGTGTGCAGCATATTTTAAGTTTGGGTTATACATATATCTTTTTACTTTCTCATTTTTCATATATGATATATGATAAGATTTTGCCTATATGTGAGCAGTTAAAATAATTTGATAGACAGAAAATTTTTATATGCACCAGCTATATTTTTTCCGATCATTCAAAATTATAATCCCAAGAATAAACAAAGGTGTTTCACATATGCTTAAAACATATCATTTAAGCCCATGAAAATCGCATAGAAAGGCGCATGAATTAATGAGTTTTTCATGAAAGAATTATGAAAGGAATATTAATTTCATATTATTATTATTATTTTAATGGCTCGTATATGGGCATTGCACTGTCAACGCTTCCTTTCGAACCGTGAGGTCTCCTTGTTGTCGTCCAACGTGTTGTCGGGCTTGTCGGGTTTGTGGGGCTTCTGGCTTTTGGGGGAATGCCAGCAATCTTCTCCAAATCCTCGATGCGATCGATAAGATCGTCTAGTTTGTCCAGACCCTTGCACGAGCTCAAACACTTGTTTAGTTCGGAATCGTTTTCGTGAAGGTTCTCGAGTGCGTCCTTAAGCCGCGCCTCCAGCTCCGCAATTCGTTGCTCCAGCTCCAAAATCTTGTCCGTATCCTTGCGCAGTTTCTTTTGATGCTTTTCCAGCTCTTCCAGGCGCTGCACAATTTTGCCATCTAGCTTGGCGGGAGCATTGTGATTATTATTATTATTCAATCGGAGCAGCAATTTCTCCAGATCGTTTAAACGTTGCTCGGCCTGATTTTTGAACTCTTGCGCTTCCTTTTGCCGTTCCGCATTCCGCTTGTCCAACTCGTCGTATTTTTTGATTAAATCGTCCTTGATTTGGTTCAGCTTGTTATCGTTATCATCGAGATTCTTTTGGATTACCGAAAGCAAATCATTTGTCGCCGCCAGTTTGGCTTGCAGCTGTTTTATGAGCGCATCAACGGCTTGGGCATCAATACCATCTGTCGTGGGCTTGACAGTCGTGGAACTAGCCGAGCTCAACTTGTCCAATGCCTCGTTGAGGCGCTGCTGCAAATCCTTTAGAGCCGCTTCCAGTTTGGCAATATGATCACTGTAATTGGCGCCCATTTTGTCCACATCTTGCTGCAGCTGCTCCAGATCTTGGGACAGCTTGTCCATGTTCTTGCAGCAGGCCTTGGCCCTTTTAACTTCCGCCTTCAATTCGTCCAGTCCCGGGCAATTATTCATTACTGGTTGTTTTTCTGGTGTCTTTTGTTGTTCCAACTCTTGAACTTTGGCTTCCATTTGTTTTAGTTCGTCATTGAATCGCCGGCAATGGGAAATGCTTGTTGCCACCTTTACGAATTTCACCAGATGTTCCTTGTGTTCATTTACCACATTCTCCAAACGGATTATTTTCAACAGCGGATTGTTTTCTGTGCTGTTGCCCTGAAGTAATTTGCTTTCCACTTTGTTTATTTCACTGGTCTTATCGCATTTTTCCTTAACCAATTTAATATTCCCAATGCGCTTCTCTGATTCCATTTTGATGTTATTTATTTGATCCTGCTGCTCTTTTTGTTTATCCTGCAAGTCTTTGAGCTCTTTCTTCAGCTCGTTGGCCTTCTTTTGGGTCTCGGCTTGTGCTTTCTCCAGCTGTTGGTTTAGGTCATCGACTCGGGAGTTCAGCTCCTTGCAACACTTTTCCGCCTCCGCCTTGTTGTCCTTCTGGTTCTGCTCCAGTTGCTCGATGCGCTGCGCTATGTCTTTTAGCTTCTTCTCCAGATCAGCTTGCTTGTCCTTGAGCTCATCTCGTTGCTTCGTGTTGTCCTCGTTCTGTTCGTTCAATTTGCGGCTAAGCTCATCCAATTGCTTAACCAAATCGGCTTCCATGGCTTTAAGATTGTCCGTTAACTGATCGCAACAGGTTTTCGTGTCCTTGCCGATCAGCATTTTCATTCTGTCCAGGATGCTGTCCAGATCCTTGCCTATGTCGCCGCTCGACTCCAGCGGCTTGCCCACGCCAATGCCACTGCTGGCCGAGAGGCTCGTCATATCCTTCAATATCTTCTCCATGGTGTCCTTTTCATAGAAACAGCAGTGCTCGTCTCCAATCTGCTCCGGACGCTTCGTATTCAAGGCATTCAATAGCTTGCCCAGGTGCTGATTGAAGCTCGTAAGTTTCGCATTTCGCACCACCTGCTCGTTGATCCAGCGTGCAATCTCTCCATGACTTTCACATGCTGTTCTTGTTGTGACAGCACGACCGTAACCATGAGCATTGGACCGAAAGTTAACTTCTTCGTTGTCGTCATAGTCGTAATATCTGAATGCCTCCATTTGCAAACTGGCCGATAAGAGCAGCAGCAGAAATTGCAGCGACGTCATCAAGAACTGTCCACGAGATTGTTAACAGGGCTTTGGGTTTGTTCTCTTCTCTAGTTTTATAACACTCACCATTGTTTCTTGCGATTCTCGACGTTGTGCCTCCAAGGGATTCTGCGAAACTGACTCAATGCTTGGGGAACACTGGACGCAATTAGTGCCCGCTCTTGACCATAATCGATTTGCATGCTGTGCCTTTTAATGGCCGAGAGGTGCAACTGGAGTATGCAGAAAAATTTGTCAAAGAGAAGCAGCAAACATATGTAAGCCTAACTTGGATTCATGAGAATCTAGTAGAAAGGCGTTAGCTGAGTGTGGGAGGAAAGCTAGTGAGTGAGCGTGTTAGAAAGAGAGAAAGAGAGTGTGGTGAGATAGGGCGTGAAAGATGCGAAGAGAGTGAGAGAGAGAGAGGGGGATAGCGTGATAGGGCGCGACCAAGCCCACACTATTATAACAGCACATGAAAATCGCATAGAAAGGCTGTCTTTAAATACTTTTCAGAACACTTCTCGAGAAAAAAAGGTATTTAATTAGCCGGCGATTGCACTTTACTTGCAACATTTTTGCTATTCCTAGTTTTAATGGTCTCCGAAAATCTAAAAATTTATGCAGAAAGTTAATCGGATAGATTATATCGGACATGGCTTTATTGAATGAGCTAGCTCAATAGTATAAATATCTCGCGTATCGTTGTAAACATAACACAGATAGCTCAGTCTGTTCACAGATTGAAGCTGGCGAACATTGGTGCGAGTGTTTGAAGATTATTTTCATGGTTAAGGTCACAGAGTATAGCTTGGTCTCATGCCCCGGAGGGCTCTTTTATATGATTTTTGGGGCGTTGACAAAGACCAAAACAAAAGAAATACAAAATAAAAACAAACTGGAGTCTAGTTGTCAAGGGTCTTAGACAAGCAGATACGCTGTAATTTTAAAATCCAGAGCAAATGCTCTTCATTAACTTTCAGTTCTTCAAGCTGAAATTTAACCCTTACATTCTCCTAAACTAGAAATTTAATGTATATTGGTTAGGTTTATAGTTATGAAAAGTTATTTTAAAACGGATTCGGTTGTGGCACATTTAATTTGATCAAATTTTAATGGGTATAGAAAAAAACCCGTTTAGCGCATGCCTTGAATGATATGCGATATAGATCTGTATGTATTGTAAGATAATGTGATTGTTAGGTAATAATTGTGCATGTCGGGCGATTTGTTTTTTTGGCCTATTCAGACAACGCGGTCAAGTTGAAAAAGTTGAATGCCCTGAGTTTTGAGCTAGAACCCATTAAGCAGACTAAAATGATTTAGAACCCAAAAAACTAGTTGTCAATTTAAAACCAGCCAGGCAGGCGATCGAGCTTTTAAATTTAACATATGGTTAAATTAAAAATGCAAATGCGATCGAATACACGTACTTTTAGTGCACCGGAAACGTAAAGTTCTGCTACGGTTATAGCTATTGATCTTTGATGATGGCGAGATCGGATCAATGAAAATATCGTTGGTGAAGCGGAAGTGCCCAAAGCAACAAACAAGTGTCATAATTACGCACAAAAGCAAAACGAAAATATTAAAAAAAAATAAATAAATATAAAAAAAATCACGAGCGACATAGAGAATGGTATCATCCGAAGAGCTGCGCTCGATGATTTGTGAATGGCTTCTGTTTAGCCATGACGTTGGGTTATTTACAGATCTATCCGACCAATCCGACTACCAATCAGCCACTTTATGTTTTAATGAACTCGAACCGCGCAGCTTTTTTGGCTCGTTTAATCGACGGACTTTTAATGGGCTCATCAGTTTGCCTTTCGAAGCGCTTCTTCTTTTGGTAACTGTAATGGACCACAAGTATTTGCGGGCATCGCTTCCGGCCAACTTAACTAATTGACCTTGCACGGCATATTAAAACCAAATAGTTCAAGTCTCGTATTTAGCCCAATAGAATTGAGCAGTGGCATCTTGTTAAACTTTCAATTCGATGTGATTAGAACAGGAGTCTGATATTTGGCCGATGGCTATGTATCTCCATGTCAGGCCGTGACATTAGGAAGACAAAGCGCAAAGTTGGCCCAAAGCATAACACAAATACACACACACACACGCAGACATACGGACAGTCGCATAGTTCAAGTTCCTCTATAAAAACCAGTAAAAAACAAGTAACGGCTTCAGAATCACTTCAAGACCCGCAACACGCGGATGCAAAACCCCTTAAAGATCAAAAACCGAAATAGACCCAAAAAAAAAAAAAACAAAAACAACAACAACTGAAACGGAATTATGTGTGTGTGTGTGCGGATAACAAAGTGATCAAATTGTTTAAAACAAGTTTCGAAAAATAAAAAAACTAATTCCATCAATTCTCTTAAAGAAAATAAAAAATTCATTAAATTTCATTTGAAAAATATATTTATAAAAAACAAAACCCATTAACTTTTGGTAACTGGCATAAATTATGCAAAAGTTAATTGGCAAGAACTAAGCGAATTCTAATCGAAATAAAATTTCGATAAAATCTTCGACGCGTGCCGCGAACATTTTGGAAAAAAACGCTTTCCGCATTTTGTCTCGTGACGCGTTTACAATCGCCCAAAAAAAGATCGTCTTGTATTTGTTCGTTGGTCCACAGCGAAGCTGGCCACATATCATTGGATTGAACTGGACACGGCTGACCTTGACACTCACTTTTCTCACAAAAAACCGATACGAAACAAAATTTTGTTTTTTTTTTCGGGTTTTTGTTGGCTGTGGCAACAACGTCTTCTTGCTGAGCCGCGCTTCAGGCCGTTCGACAGTCTTTGGCCGAAACGAAGATGAGACACACACGAATCGGGCGGCGCTCAGCTTAAGTTAACTTAGGCTTGTGGTTTTATTACATCAGTTTTTCCAAGTGCAACCGACAACTAAAAAAGATAAAACATATTTATTATAATTGTGTTGAAGGAAAAAAACAACAACCAAGTGCATTCATGCTTCATTCACCGCTCAGCTGCATATTTTAATACATAATTTGTTACAAAAAAACAACAACAACAACAATCAAATACTAAACAACAAATTTATCAACAACAACAAATACGAGCAGCTGTGGCCAATTGTTAAGCGCGCAAAATGTGCTATAAAATCGTGTGCAGTTTGCTGCTCTGTCTCCTCGGCTTGGCGTGCTCCAGCACCAGCTCCAGCAATCTGGCCGGCTACGAAGGGTAATTAACACAATAGTTATAAATATATTTTCATATTATATATATATATATATTAAATTTTTTTTGAAATAAATATTTTAAGCACATCTGTCAGTCGGCCCTCTTATAGCAGTCATTTATTATCTTTTTGGCTTTTTTTTTTTTTTTGATATTAAAATTTATATTTAACGATTGCCGGCTAGTTGGTAAACTGGTTTGGGATTTTAGCTTTTAACTAGCCATGTGCTCGTCTCTTGAAATCCCAAAAAAAAAGAGAGGAAAAACCTGAACCTTGCCTTAGGGTTCGGATTGTGAACCTTTTCAGATACATTAACCAGGTTATTTTTTTTAAAAGCAATAATTTTAATTTTATATATTAATATATGCACAATTTTGTAACTTTACAAACCTATTCAAAATTTTAAAATATTAAAAATAATATTTTGTTGGTGCTCTTTTTACCATTAGTTCAGGATTTTACCTCATAATTAGCCAAGTGCTCATCTCTTAAAATACAAAAAAAAAAAAACTGAACCAATGCCTTGCCTTTTGGTTCGGCTCAATTATCTTTTTTTTTCCAAACTCAGCTGGTCACATTTTTTTTTCAATTTTAAACGAATTAATTTAATTTTATATATATACATATTAATATATGTGGACATTATTTTATTTAAGAAATTAGGTAAGATTTTAAAATATTGCAAAAAAAACCAAAAACCTTTTTAAAAACCGTTTGATTCAGGATTTGCGTTTATTTTTGAACCGGTTCCCGTTCGGTTCGCGTTCCGGTTCACAATAAAACTCAAATTGTCATTCCCGAAACGAACCGTTTCAGTTTATAGCCGATTTGAAGAGCTGCTTAAAACCTCGTCTGTTTGTAATTCGCACTTACCAACTGCTCCAAAGATGACCCTCCCTCTAATGCCGTTGCATCTCATATTCCACACAGCTGATTATACCGATTGCAACACTGGTGTACATAAGACCAATATCAAATGTGGACAGCTTGTCTATTTGGCACTTGAATGTTAGATAGGGTATGGCCAAAATAGATACGATCAGCGCATTACGATACAATTTGAAACCCCAGTCCTTTAGTTTGCCAAACATGTTTTCACCTGTGATTTCAGTTCAGTTTTGTGCTTTAAATAACGTTAACTTTTCAATGAAGGAACATTTAACTTTGAATATTGAGTGTAGGCTTGTAACTGAAAGGAATGATATCTTCAATTAAGAATTGTTTAACGACATTTTTAACGAAGCAAATGTGATGTTGAATGTGAAAGTAAGAATTTTCTAGCAGTACTCGGTAGATAAGCCGAGCTGAATAGGAAGAATGCGGGTTCAAATCCCCGGCTATTGCTTGTGTGTAAGCCTAAAAAGTTAGTTTTTTTTAAGAAGTTCGATTTGCAGAGGATATGTTATTTTTACCCTGAAATGTGTAACGCATTGAATGGAATTTTCAAAAATTTTAAGGTTTATCTTAAGATATATATACATTTTGTTACAAGGCGTAAAGTTTCTCATATATGTGCGACTAAAGGTCTTAAGAGTCTCAGAGAGGTCTCAGTGGCTGGCAAATTTTTGGCTAGATATCTACACACACACACACAAACACACACACGTGTATGTATTAACGTGTTATTAGAAGCGACTGTCAATGCCAGTGATTAGACGCTGTCATTAACATTAGCACTTAGACTGAATGTTGCTCAAGTCAGGCGTGCATAAAAAACAAACCCAAAAAAAAACACAAAACACACGCCCATGGCAGAAGGCAGCTCCATTGACGATCCGCCGATGACACAGCAAGACGTATGCAAATGCCAAGCGATCGCAGTGCAAATGTTTGCCCAAAGATATCTCAGCTGCTCCGCAGATTCAATTTATTTTTTTAGGGGGGCGCACGCGGCGTATGTGTGATGGATGCGAGCAACTGTGCTGGGGCTGCGATCGCTTCAAGTGATGAAAATAAAAATACAAAATGATATTGAAAACGAGCGCAAAACCACAACTCGATTTTTAATTAGCACGCAAAATGTTTGCTTCCTTCCGTTGTTGTGTGTTCAGTTTTGTTGTTGTTGTTTCGACACAAAACATTTAAAATTGGAATGCTTGAAAATGGATGCTTAATATGCAAAGATATGATTTTGACAAGGTTGCATCCAACAATAGCGCTTCATTTGCCCATAATTTAAGGAAAATTACAGCAACAACAACAGCACGTTTAATTAAAATGAAAATCAAACTAATCACATGTAAACAGTTTCTTTATGTAAAAATGAAAAATTAGTTGGCCTATGCGGCCGCCTGCGGGTGCTTAATTTTATATACCCTGTAACCATTGCAAATGGGTAAAACAGGGTATATTGGTTTTGAGGCAAGTGCATGTCAAACCCATAAAGTGTATACATATATTCGTTATTGGGATCAATCAGATGCCTGCTCGTCTCTCTACGAATTCTTCTATATCTGTCAGACATTTAAAATTTGGCATATATATTTGTTTATATTTGGTCTTTGATATCTCCATTCTTCCATTTCTTCAATTATTTAAAAATTTCAATTTAAAAAAAAAGGTTTTTAGGCATATCTCGAAGATTATAAGACTCTAAGAGGCATTAGTAATTCGATTTATGAATATTCTTGTATATCATACGCTGAACGAATTATCTATTGTTATTCCCATTTCCATAATATCGATAAATATCGATTTTAAAATGTATCATAAGATCGAGAGATCTGAAACTTCAAATATATGCTATAACGAATTTCTTCATTTGTTTTTTTGTTTTAATATTCCCTCTTATTATTTACTAGGGCAAATCTCGAAGATTATAAGAGCTTGACATCTGCAATTTAAAATATATGCTGTTGAGTATTTTATTCAATATTTTCGCCTATATCCATAATATTTATAAATCTCGATTTTGAAAGCTGAGCTTTTAAACATATCATGGACATTATAAGATCATTTAAAATATGTATTCTCCTATATTATACGTTGAATGAGTCTATTTTCTTTCGATAACTTCTCTTAATATCGATTAATATCGATTTTGAAACCAGGTTTTGTTAAGGTTAAGTATACCTCGGAGACTCGGACTAAGCGTAAAAAAGAATGAAGACTTTATACATAAAGAGAAACTTCCCTTTGCTTATGACGACATACTCGACACTGTTTACGGGGTATTTGCTCGTCAGTCACCCCCAACTTGAACACTTTTGTTTTTCATTTTGAACATTTGTGTCCGCTCTTTGCCTTCTGTTTCTGTGCGAGATAAACATTGTTGGCGGGCGTTTAATTTAATTATATATTATTCATTGTATGCCGACTGCCACACGTGATTAGCCGGAGCTTTGTCTTCTGTTTGGCTACTTGGCTACACTCTCTCCCTCCCCCCCCCCCCCCCCCCACCCCCTTCTGCACATGATGAATATGCATAGATTTTCAATATTTGTGAGCCAGCTTGTTGCTTCATCTTGTCTGTTGGCGTTGTGGAATTTTCTGAAATGATAAATTGGCCACAAATTCAGGCGAGGTGGCAAAACGCCAATTGGCCAGGCGACGACAACTAGAACGAGCATTCTGCATAAATTTGTGAATCAACAACTCATTTTTGGGCGCCACAAATTAATTTTCTTGTCCAATTAGATCAAGACAGCTCTTTGGGTGTGTGTGTGTGTGTGTGTGTGTGAAGCAATCTTATTGGGTTTTTTCGAATTTTTAATTGGATATCTATTATTCCAACAATTAGTTGCACGTAATCGGGATTACCCATTGATGGGCTAAGATTCAAAACGTGCAAACATTTCAAGAGTTTTTTATGTAGCCTAAACTTAATTATTTTCAAAAAGAACAAATTAAATATTCTACATAAACTCGTTTGTGAGAGCGTCTAAATTGGCTGCAAATGTGATACCTGAATAGAAGTTTAATAATCTTAGCAAGAACTTTTATTATAGAACTTATGAGATCATTTGGAAACAGTTATGTTAAACTTAACATTTAGCAAAGTCATGATGAGAGCTGTGACGTTAGGAAGTCTCTATACCCTGTACATCTGGTTAAAAGAGGGTATACTGTTTTGTTGCAAATGTATGTTAGAGGTTGAAGTCGGCTTCTCCGACCTTCTAAATTATATATTCTTGTTCCGCAGTCACATCTATATGTTTATTCGCAGAAATCTCGGGAATTATATGAGTTAGAGACTTGATGTTTGGTACTTAGGTTTCCCTGAACGCAGAGTATCTCCTAGTCAGGCACTAGAGCGTATTTCCTTTTTTGAATTTAATGTTTTTCAGACCCTTTATGTCAGCAGAGATTAAGGCCATCCTGTAAGTTAGTCAAGAAAATATATGGCTTACTTGTTAATATAATTAGGATTAGAACCAGGATCCTTTCTACTAAATAACCTTAATGAATAGCTCAATCAGGACTTAGTCTTCTAACAATGACTGCTATATGATTATTATTATTTATATTATTATTATTAATTTTTCTATTTGAATATTATGAACACAATTTCCTGCAGCTATACCAAGTACACGGTGCAGCATGGCGATGAGAGCGCCTTTCGCTATATGGTCGATCTGCAGACGAACGATACCGATGTGGACTTCTGGCTGCTCACCCGGAATATGTCCGTGCTGACGGTGGGTCCGCAGCGTAAGCCACAGTTCGAGTCGCGCCTGTCCCAGCTGGGCGTTGAATATCAGACTCAGCCGCTGATGGATCTGATGGCATCGCTGGAAGCAAATAGCACATATGCGGATGCCGAGGATTTGGATGAATGCCAGCCGGGCGATTGCGAGTCGGAGCGTCCACGTAATCGGCAACGTCGTCAGGCACGCGGCTTCTTCTCGCATTATCCGCGCTATCATGAGATACTCAACTTCATGAGCGGATTGGCGGCGCGTTATCCACAGTACTGTCGCTACGAATCGCTGGGTCGCTCCAACGAGGGTCGCCACATTGCCGGCCTGTCCATATCGCTGAACCAGCGTGTTCGTCCGCGCCGTGTCGCCTACATTCAGGCAGCTGCCCATGGCAGGGAGTGGATCACAACGCAGACGGTGCTCTACTTGGCCTACGAGCTGCTCAGCAATCTGCGCGCCTTCCAGCGGGTACTGAACGATGTCGAGGTGTTCCTTGTGCCGCTCGTTAATCCCGATGGCTATGAGTACACGCACACAACGGTAAGTGATAGATTATTGTATATTGTATAACAGGCAGAAAGAAGTATTTCCAACATCATACATTATACTTAAATTATCTTGTTCAGGAAGCGCAGCTCAGACGATCTACCCATGTTCGTCTGTCTGTTAGTCTGTGTGAACGATCTCGAAATCTACAAAACTTAGAGATTTGAAATATATATTCCCATATACCACAGAACAAGTTAATCGTTTCTTTCAATATTTCCTTTAATTTTCATAATATCGATTTTGAAACATGGTTTTTTAAGCTAGTTCGATGATTATACGTGCTTTATACCCAAAACTTGATGAATATTTTCTCATATAGTACATACAGATTGGGAATATATCTATTTTGGAACCTTATATATTGTGTATGTGTGATAAAAGAGAGCTAAAATGTTTGTAGCTCGGCACTAAATTCAGGGTATCTCCTAGTCGGTTACTCACTACTAGAGCACACTTGCTTGTTTGGGTATGGAAGTTCTTGATTTAAGAATAAATTAAACTCATATCAAGGCCCGAATTTATATAAACTTGTTTTAAGTTGAAGCTGGAATTATATTTATTTGGGGTAAGCTTAAGACTATATTAGTTTTATTACAAGGGTAAAATTATTTATTATCATTTAAGTACAGACGGTCTTAACTTTATAACAAAAAACTTGTTAAACTTTTTTTCGCACTTAAAAGTTTAAACTCGAAATAAGATTTGGATTAGGTCAAGTTTAGCTAATATGAGCGTACTTTTAAGTCCGGGGTTACTCGCTGCAATAACTAAATACTTGATTTTTTCGCAATAAAAACGAAAATAGAGCTAGAAGTAGTTCTTGAGTTAAATTTTTCTAATTGCGATAAGGAATATCCGATAACTAATCTAATTCCATGGAAACTTGATAGATTGCCTGCTGATATCTTGGAATTACTATTGTTGAATTGTGTTTAATTGGTTTCTAATTTATCTGGCTCTTAGGATCGCTTCTGGCGCAAGAATCGTCATCGGTTTGCTGGTCATTCCTGCAGCGGGGTGGACATCAATCGTAACTTTGCCAATCACTGGAACTATCAGGGCGCCAGCCAGAATGTAAGCGACCTGTTGCGGCATTTGTAACTTTGACTTTGACCTCCAAATATAATGTATAACACGATTTCAACCCCATCAACGCATACAGCTCTGCTCGGAGGTCTATTCGGGGACGGCGCCAAATTCGGAGCCGGAAACATCGGCGGTGGTTCGCTATCTGGAATTCAATCGTCAGCGTGTGAAGCTCAGCCTGGATGTGCACTCATTCGGCAAATTCATTTTTTATCCCTACGGCTATGCGAGGTGTGTACGGCCGGGAGCTGAGCTCTCGGCTCTTTGGGGCAAAAAGAAATTCAATTTACTTTTCAATTAATTGCTAAAAGCAATTAAAATGCGAATATTTTTGGCTGGCACTGTAAACATTTTAACACCCATTTCGCATCCATTTCGCAGAAACACAGTGCCACCCACAGTGGGCACATTGCGCTCCGTGGCATCGCGGGCCGCCAGCCAAATCGGCAAATATCGCGGCACCCGGTACACCATCGGCACCTCCGCCTCCATACTGTACGAGGCTTCTGGCAGTCTGGATGACTTTGCCTATGGCAGCCTGGGCATACCCTTGTCCTACACGGTTGAGCTACCCGGCGATGAATTCCATGTGCCCTCGTACGATATCATACACGTCTGCAAGGAGACATTTGCCGGCTTCGTCGAGTTCATTCGGCACGTTAGTCTCTATTAAGTATTTTGCCGTCCTTAGCATTTAAGCAATTGAATTTATAATTGTTAATTTAACTAATTAGTGTCATTGTTGTTAGGCATTAAAGTGAGAAAGTGAGATAAAAGATAACAAATACACGGCTTGATGTTCGTTATCGGTAACCTAAAATTATCAATACCCTGTACACAGTCTAAATGGGCAATATGTGCGTAGCAGGTAAAAGCAGATAAATCTGTAACATAAACACTTTAAGAGACATACAATTTTGAGGTATAGGCTTTTGCGTGTCCACGCAGCCTAAATTTATTTCAAATTATCGATAGCACGCTTCGCTTAAGTGGTATCGATAAATATCGATTTTAAGCCTGTGCTGAAGAGCTAGAGACATCAAATTTGTTTGTGTAAGACAAGTTTCCTCTCTGAATGCCTTCTCCAATTTTTCACTTACGTTTTTAAGAGCTAAATTTTGTTTATGCATTAATTTAAATGTCGATTTTAATTCCACAAAGTTTTATGAAGATCGGACAGCAGAGAGCGAAGTTAAACCGGAATCAAAAATTGTATTTCCCACTGAAGATCTACATATGTATTCAGAGAACTAGTTCACTTTCGTGTAGTTCTTACTCCCTGAACTTATTGGTGATATTTTATGGTGTTTACCCTATGCCATAAACAGAAGCGTCTAGTGCATACGATAAATGGACTTATTGGTATCGTAACCCAAGTCTAAAAGTCGGCAGCAGTTCCAATTAAGTGATAAGTCGCTTGCCATGGCAAAGGTATCGAAATTTTTTGGCAAAGTCTTGGTCGGAACTTGACGCAAATGACATCGTTGAGATTGGTGCTGGTGCTGCTGTTGCTGCAGCTCGCTGGCCTGTTGGCCTGGCAGGACTACAAGGATTATAAGGTGTTTGAGCTGAAGCCACACGATGCCAATCAGCAGCAGCTGCTGCGTCAGCTGGCCCGGGAGCAGCCCCATTGGGACATTCTGGGCACACGGCGCAGTTACAATGAGAGCGGACTGCGTGTCTTGGTGGCGCCCAGCCAGGTGAACAGTTTGCTGGAACAGCTGAAGACACATCAGATAGAACATCAGCTGCTGTGGAATGATTTGTCCTTGCTGCTGCGGGAACAGCGTGCCGAGAATGAGCGCAGCAAGTCGCGCTCCACGTTGCCATTCATCGATGTTTTGGGTGGATTTTATACGCATGCAGAGATCAATGAGTATCTGGAGAGCTTGCCCCAGCGATATCCGCAGCGTGCGCTGCTCAAGCAGTTTGGGAGGAGCTACGAGGGACGTGCTCTGAAGCTGCTGACCATCAACAATGGGGATGGAAGACCGAATAAGCCGGTGATCTTCATCGATGCCGCAATGCATGCACGCGAGTGGATTGCGCCCTCGTTCGCCTTGTACATCGTTCAGCAGCTGTTGGACAATCATGTGGAGCATGCCGATCTGCTCCAGGACTATGACTGGGTTATTATGCCAGTTGTCAATGCGGATGGCTATGAATTTACTCACACAGACTCGCGCTACTGGCGCAAGACGCGCAAACCCACCTGGGATCCGGAGAACATTGGCACCGATCTGAATCGCAATTTTGGCTACGAGTGGGGACACGATGGAGGTTCCTCGGCTGATCCCGCTGAGGAGATTTATCGCGGCGCGCACGCGTTTGATCAGCCCGAATCGCAGGTGGTACGCGATGTGCTGCTGCACTACAGCGATCGCTTGGACTTTTACCTCTCGCTCCACTCGTATGGTAACTACCTCTTGCTGCCATGGGGTCACACAAGGTAAGCCCAAGATTTATGCCTTAACGAAACAATTCCAATAAGTCAAATTAAATCAGTAAATAAGTGGTATTAAGTGAATTAAAGTAAAGTCAAGTTGAAATTAGCAACCTATTAAATAAAAGGAAGTCGCTGGTTCGAACCACGAACTAGACCATCGAGATATAATGTTGTATTCCCATGATGTTTTTTTTTATTTTGAGTTTAGGTTAAAGTTAAGCTTACTTTTCTAAATGCCACTAGCTAACAAATCCTGCGGCCAAGACAGCCCTACATCCAAGTAAAAGTCTGAGAATCGAGCCAGGATTCTTGTGGTTCAGTTGGCCTGAGGAATAATGATATATATGTTCTACCTTAAATATATGTCAAGGTTAGAATAATAGTCAAGGCTAATTTTGAAAGTTCTTAGTCCAAGTATACCCTATTACAAATCTGTTTTACCTTGCCTTTCGCAGTGCCTTCCCCTCAAATTACTTTGATATGATGGAAGTGGCGGATGCGGGCGCCATGGCGATCGTACAGGCTACCAATGGCATTTATAGCTACGGCAGCGGATATCATTTAATGTACCCTACCTCTGGTGATTCCACAGATTATGCTGTGGGCGTTGCGAATGCAACGGTGGCCATAACCATGGAACTGCCAGCTGGCGGATTTCTTGGCTTCGATCCGTGGGTCTCGCACATCGAAGGCATTGTCACCGAAAGCTGGGTGGGTGTGCGTGCCATGGCCATGGAGGTGATAAGACGTTACCAGACCTAGTCGTAAATAAAGATAGTTTAATGTCCAACAGCTTTGATTTCGGTTTTTACAGTAGATACGCTTCTAATTTATAGATCGATTACGAGTTCAGATTAGATATGATTGGGGTATATAAGTGCGGGATTTCAGGCACGCGTGACTATAGTGCGATTGCGTTTAAACATGTCGCGTTTGGGCTTGCTGACACTGCTGTTGGGCTTGGCTCTGGTGGCCGCCAAACAAGACTATGAGGGGTGAGTCAATGAAGGATCTTTACCTAATAAGTCCTGAGCAACTGTTGCTTGCAGTTATCGCATCTATGAGCTGACACCTGTCACAGCTGCACAGGGAGAGCTGCTGCACAGGCTTAGCCTCCAGGGCTACGACTTCCTAAGTTTACCTCGTTTGTTGGGTAAATCTTCACGCGTCATTGTGAGTCCTGAGCAGCTGGACAGCTTCGAGGCGTTGCTGTCGGAAGAGCAATTGAGTCATCGCCTGCTCAATGACAACCTGGGCTCAACCATTGCAGCGGAGTTTGCCCAGCGGCAGCTGCAACGACGCCTCGCCCCTATTTCGGGCAAGGGTCGCCTCAGCACGGAGCGCTACTATTCACATGAGGAGATCACCAACTATATTAATGACCTGGCCGCTCGCTACCCGTCGCGTGTGCTCGTCAAGACTGTCGGCTGGTCATATGAGAAGCGCGAACTGAAGACCATTACCATCACCAATGGGGATGGTCGTGCCAACAAGAAGGTCATCTTCATGGACGGCGGTTTCCATGCGCGCGAATGGATCTCGCCGGCAGCTGTGCTGTATGTCATTGAACAATTGGTGGAACAGTTCGAAAAGAATGCCGATCTGCTGCAGGACTACGACTGGATCATTTTGCCAGTGGTTAACGCGGACGGCTATGAGCACACGCAGACAGGCACCTATGCTCGCATATTTCGCAAGACTCGTCAACCCTATCAGTATCTGGGCCAGACCTGTTATGGCGCCGATCCTAATCGCAATTTTGATTTCCATTGGAATGAGGAGGGGGCCTCATCGAATCCCTGCGCGGATACCTTTGCTGGTCCCACCGCTTTCTCCGAGCCAGAGACAATTGTGGTGCGCGATCTGATGCATTCGCTGGCGGATCGCGGCATTATGTACCTGACCATCCATTCCTATGGCAATTACTTGCTCTACCCGTGGGGTTGGACCAGGTTCGTAGCTAAATATCCTTCTTTTATTATATACACTTGATCTAGCTGATTTACATTGCAGCGATTTGCCCGAAACTTGGCAGGATCTCGATGACGTGGCACGTGCTGGTGGAGATGCCATAGAGAAGGCAACCGGTACGGTATACGAGGTGGGTAGCTCCACCAACGTGTTGTACATAGCCGCTGGGGCCAGCGACGACTATGCCTTTTACGCCGGCTTCAATATATCGATCACCATGGAATTGAGTGGAGGTGGCGTAACAGGCTTTGATCCACCGGCCAGCAAGATCGATGAGTTTGTAACTGAAACCTGGATAGGTATTCGTGCAATGGCCGAAAAGGTTATCGAAAAGTATTAAATAAAACAGAGAGCTCAAGTCGAGTGTTTGACTTAAGTTGTCATAATGCACATTGGTAATTTCTTATAAAAATGCGTTTACCTACTGATGCTAAAATTCAATACCGGCAAATGTGATCCACAGATCCACCTTATTTTTAATTTTAAAAAAAATTGTTGGTCAAATACGTTGTTGGTCAATTTGTTGGTCCGTGGATACGCAATACCACGCAGGGTATGGCATTACTCATAAATTATATGTTAAACAAGTCTTTTTTATTGAGGCATATAAGTATTATATATGTGTGTGTGTGTGTATGAATGTGTGTGTGTGTGTGTATGAATGTGTGTGTGTGTGTGTGTGTGTGTGTGTGTGAGCGTGAGTGTGTTAGTGTATGTATGCATGTATGTATGCATTTATGTATGTATGTATGTATGCTTGTTGGTTTTCTAATACCAAGCGCAGACCAAGCTTATTTGTCGCTGTGCGGCAAATTTAAATAAAACGATTATCTACCAAGTGCTCTACTCCTCGATTCTCAAGAATTCAAGTAGGCTCTGCAGTTTTTCATGCTTTGCTAGTAGTGTAGTGCTTATTTTTTGTGCTTTTTTTTTGTGCTTTTTTTTTGTTGTTTTTTTTGGTGGTGTTTTTTTTGTTATTATTTTTTTTTTTTTTTTTTTGTGTTTTTTTGTTTTTTTTTTTGTGTTTTTTGTTGTTGTTTTTTTGTTGCATGCATGCATGTATGTATGCATGTATGTATGCATGTATGCATGTATGTATGCAAGTATGCATGTATGTATGCATGTATGTATGCAAGTATGCATGTATGTATGCATGTATGTATGTATGTATGCATGTATGTATGCATGTATGTATGCATTTAGTGCATGTAATCATGTATGCATGTTTGTATGCATGTGTGCATGTATGCATGTGCGCTTGTATGCATGCGTGCATATATGCATGTATGCGTGTGTGCATGTATGCATGTGTGCATGTATGCATGTAAGCATTTATGTATGTATTTATGCATGTATGTATGCATGTATGCATGTATGCACGTATGCAGACCTGGATATGGATACAAATATTATCTGCCTATCTGCATCTATCATCAATATATAAAATATGGGAATTTACTAACTATTTTTGTGGATGGAGTGTTGGGTAAGTACATAAAATACATATCAAAAAAGCAGGATAGGATGCGGGGTAAGTTCATAATCCATATATCATTTATATAAATATTTATTATATATAGAAACAAGAATATATGTAAAGCCAAATTACACCTGGGCATAGCCTACTAAACATTAGTACATCTGAATTATTACATGATTATTAACGATAAATAAGAATATATGAAATTAGACCTGGAAACGGGCTATTATACTTTGCACCTACCATCTACATATGTGTTAATTACAAAGATGATCATTTGTCAAATTCGACCTGGGCATGGCTAGCGATGATTATGCATTCAATGCGAGATTTCCCATATCATTAACTATGGAGCTGCCAGCCGGTGGGGCCAACTATTTTGATCCACCTGCGTCAGATATTGATAGGCTTGTTAAGGAAACCTGGGTGGGCATCGAGGCCATGGCCCGTAAGGGGATTGAAAAGTATCCACTCAACTAAAGCCCTACATAATTAATGTTTAATAAATTGGAAAACCCTAGGAATACTCCATGGGTGGCACTTATCGTGGGCAACGGAAGTGGGACGCTAGACACTCACACACATGCACACACACATGTTGTTTCGTGTATAAAATATTGTTGTTTATTTTTGCTTTAATATTTTTCAATGACCTTTTGGGCCATGGCACGAATGCCAGTCCAGGTCTCGCTGACATATGGCAGAATTTGGGCAGTGGTGGGATCGAAGCCACTGCCGCCAGCGGGCAGTTCCATGGTAATGGAGACGGGGAACCTGCCCACACCGAATGCGTAATCATCGCTGCTACCGGCGGCGGCATAGAGCACATTCGTGAAGCTGCCGACAGTGTATTTGGTGCCGGTTGATTCCTTAATGGCAGCGGCACCCGCTTGGGCCACCTCATCGTGGGCACGCCAGTCACTGGGCAAATCGCTAAAATCAATCAATGGAACAATTAGCAGGCATAGCAGGCGTTTGAGTCAACTGCTGGGTTTACTCACGACGTCCAGCCCCATGGATAGAGCAGGTATTTGCCGTACGAGTGCAGCGTCAGATAGAACATGCCACGGCCCAAAAAGCCGAGCATCAAGTCGCGCAGGATTTGCGTTTCGGGCTCGGAGAAAGCTATCGTGCCCCTGAAGATATCATCGCAGGAGTCGGTGGAGGCGCCCACCTCACCCCAGTGGAAGTCAAAGTTGCGATTGGCATCGGTGCCATAGCAGGAGCTGCCCGTCGGCTTGCGCGTCTTGCGCCACATGCGCGAGCTGGTGTGCGTGTGCTCATAGCCATCGGGATTGACCACGGGCAAAATGACCCAATCGTAGTCCTTCAACAGATCGGCATTGGACGCAAAGTTCTCCACCAGCTGATAGATGACATAGAGTGCGCCCGCTGGCGCAATCCACTCGCGTGCATGTATGCCCGCATCCAGGAAGATCACATTCTTGCCGCTCTTGCCATCGCCGTTGGAGATGGTGATGGTCTTCAAGTCGCGGTCCTCATAGGATTTGCCAGCAACCTGCACAGTTACACGGCTGGGATAGGCCTTGGCCAGCTCATCCAGATAGGCATTGATCTCCGCGTGACGATGGAACGCCGTGAAGCTGATGCTTCGCACCGCGTTACGCTGGGCCACGAGGCGCTGGCTCTGGTTCTCCAGCTGCGCCTTTTGCAACGTGCTGCCCAAGTTCTCCTCCACCACCGTGTACTCCAATGCGAAACCGTTCAGCAGCAGCTCAAAGCCCGCCTGATCCTTGGGCTGCACCATGACGCGTGTGGCAGCATCCAAGGCGCGTGGCATATTGAAGAAGTCATACTCCGTATTTTTGGCGATATGCAGCAGCAGCTCCTTCTTGAAACTGTTGCCCGCCTTGATGTCATAAATCTTGTAGCTGCAAATTGCAAATTAACTGGACATAAGCTGACGCACAATGGGCAACCCACAATTACCATCCCCACTCACCCCTCGTAGTCATGGGCGGACAGAGCGATGACGCCGCAGAGCAGCAGCAGCAGGCAAGTTTTTAGAAACATTTTTGTTGTTGATGTACTTGGCTCTGTTCTGTTCCGGCTCAAAGCGCCCAATAAATTGCTGGGCCTCAGCTGTGTTCTTTATATACATATGCATGTATGCATGTATGTATGCATGTATGCATGTATGTGTGCATGTAAGTATGTATTAATGTATGCATGTTTGCATGTATGCATGTGTGCATGTATGTATGTATGCATGTATGCACGTATGCACGTATGCAGACCTGAATACGGACACAAATATTATATCTGCATTTATCATCAATATATAAATTCGAAGAATACTGCTTCCTCCTATGGAAATATGGGAATTTACTAACTATATTTTTGGATGGGATGTTGGGTAAGTAAATAAAATACATATCAAAAAAGGAGGATAGGAGCGGGGTAAGTTCATAATCCATATATCATTTATATAAATATATATTATATATAGAAACAAGAATATATGTTTACACCTGGGCATAGCCTACTAAACCTTAATACACCTGAATTATTACATGATTATTAACGATAAATAAGAATATATCAAATCAGACCTGGGCGCGGGCTATTATACCTTGCATCTACCATCTACGTATGTGTTAATTACAAAGATGATCATTTGTCAAATTCGACCTGGGCATGGGATATTATACCATATAACATACATCTACTATCTTTATTTATATAAATTGCAAATATGATCATTTATATATATAAATAACAATAACAATAACAGGTATAATCAGAACTGGATACGGATACAAATATTATATCTGCATTTATCGTCAATATATAAGTTCGATCAATACTGCTTCCTTCTATGGAAATAAGGAAATATACAAAATATTCGTATGGATGGGATGTGGGGTAAGTACAGTATACACATGCCACAAAAGGAGGACTGGGGTAAGTACATAATACACATATAATTTATATATAAATAAGAATATTTCTTAAGACAAATCATTCATGGGCATAAACTGTAATATCTTATTCCTCATACCTTACATCTTATATCTTATTCTTTATACTTTATACTATCTGTTAAAATCGGATGAGATTTGACCGAGTTATGGGTGTGGGAAATTTTGACCTATCTCTAATATTTGAGGGTACCATTTTTACACGAATTTTGACCGAGAATAATGTTTTCAGATTTAGATGATAAATTGATCTAAAGGCCAAACCATGAAGAAAAAGCCTAGCCTTATGAAAATCGGTTGAGATTTGACCGAGTTATGAGAGTGGGATATTTCGACCTATGTAGGTGAAAATTTTCCTCCCTCCATAGCTCGTTCAATTCTCATCAGATTTTCAGGTGGTTTGGCGTTTTGCTTTTGGTTTGGCCTCAAGATATTTGGCATTTAAATCTGGAAAACATTTTTTTTGGACAAAATTCATGTAAAATTGGTACCCTGAAATATCGTATATAGACAGAGGTCATAATTTCTCATCCACACAGTCAAAATTCAAGTTATAATGGGACCCTCAAATATCCTTTATAGACATTCGTCAAAACATCCCTATCCCATCTAAAGCTCGCAAATTTACACCAAATATTTGAGTGTGAAACACCTCTGAAATGAATTTGAACAAAAATAATTGAAAATGAGTGTAAAGGCGATCGGGCGATAAACGAAAATTTTTCATGCAATCGTTTTTAATTGTTTTTCCATACTTGCGAATGGAATATCCCAAAACCCTGTCTTAGCGTTTACTAAAACTTCGTTTAAGGTAACCACAGTAAAATTTCAGCTTCTGAGCTCTTACGGGTTGGCTGTGCATTGATCCCCAATCAGTCAACCAGTCAGTCAGTCAGTCAGTCAGTCAGTCAATCAAGAAAAACATTTATATATGCAGACAAATTCGAGTTTAGACTAGTTGCAAAATGACCTATCAACGCATATCGCCGATTTTTATGACGAATTTTTACAACCAATTTATTGATTACTTTGAGTGGGTTTTAAAACTTTTACGCAATTCTTAACTGATAACGTGCTCTGATTAGAATTCGTGAGCTTGATCATTTTGATAGACAGCCAGTTTTGTTCGAGTCGGCAACGTGTAAAGATGAAAATATTGTGGTTCGCTGTGTGTTGGCTCGGCCTAACGCTCAGCCACGTTGAGGGTGGCGTCTATGATGGGTGAGTGGGTGGTTGGCTGGGAGGGGGAAGGTGTTTCGAGTGCTTAACTAACCAAACAACAGCTTTAAGATCTATGAGCTGGCCACAAAGAGTCGCAGCGCTGCCGTCGATTTGGTCTTGTCTGAGCTGGTTAAGAATGAGTCATACTATGATCTGTACTCCGCCAATGGCGCAGCTGCCCACATTATGGTGCATCCTGAGGCGCAGCCGGAGTTTATTGAATTGCTGAACGGGCACACGCTGAGCTATAAGATTGTTAATCATGATGTGGGCCTAACGCTGCGCCGCCAATTCGAAGCGAATCGCATGCTGCGCAATTGGTATCCCTACCAGGGACGCCTGGGCACCGAGCGCTACTATACCCAGGGAGAGATTAATCAATATATTGAGCAGCTCGCCCAGGAGCATCCGAGTCGTGTGTTCATCAAGACGGTGGGCAAAAGCTATGAGGGCCGCTGGCTGAAGACCATACGGATAACCAATGGAGATGGGCGGGCCAATAAGAATGTGATACTCATGGATGGTGGCTTCCATGCACGTGAATGGATCTCGCCAGCTGCCGTCGTCTATGCCATTGGTGAGCTGGTGAACAACTATGAGGCGCATGCCCAGCTGCTGCTGGACTACGACTGGGTCATTCTGCCCGTGGTCAATGCGGATGGCTATGAGTACACACAGCTGTCGGCGGATACGCGCTTGTGGCGCAAAACGCGGCAGCCGAGCAGCGCCGGGTGCATCGGCACCGATCCCAATCGGAATTTTGGTTTTCACTGGAATGAAACTGGCGCTTCTTCGGATCCCTGCGCTGAGACTTATGCGGGATCAAGGGCGTTCTCTGAGCCGGAGGCAATTGTGGTGCGTGATCTCATACACAGTCTGGCGGATCGTGGCAAAATGTATCTGACAGTGCACTCCTACGGAAACTATATCCTCTACCCTTGGGGCTATATCGAGTGGGTGGCCACAGCTCCTTTGACTTTAGCCTTTACTAAAATGTTGAATATTGCAGCGAACTGCCAGACACTTGGGAGGATCTGGATGAGGTTGGACGCGCTGGTGGTGATGCCATAGAGAAGGCAACCGGCACGGTTTACGAGGTCGGCTGCTCCACCACCGTGTTGTATGCAGCCGCCGGCGCTAGCGATGATTATGCATTCAATGCGGGCTTTCCCATATCATTTACAATGGAGCTGCCAGCTGGTGGTCTCAACTATTTTGATCCACCTGCTTCAGATATTGATAGGCTTGTTAAGGAAACCTGGGTGGGCATCGAGGCCATGGCCCGTAAGGTGATTGAAAAGTATCCACTCAATTAAATACATATATTTTAATGTATAATAAATTGGAAAACCTAAGGAATACCTAACAAGTATTGAAGTATTTGAATTCTTGTCCACAAATAATATGCCAAGTTCTTGAACCACTTTTGAGTTTATTGTTTGATTGGAATTCAACTTATCTAATCAAGTTTTTAGGGCTTTTACTGTAAAAACATTTCTTTATAGTTTTTTATCTAACTGACTTTGTGGTTAGAGCTGTTAAAAGGAAAGTCACTGGTTCAAACAAGAGAGAGAAGAAGAGAGAGAAGCAAGAGAGACTTGTGGGCAATTGTAAAAATATATGGAAAATTAGTCGCTAAATTAACCGATTTCTAGATTTACAGAACTAAGAAAACAGATTAATTTTCCCTTTTTCCACTGGATTTCTTCTTTACGGCTTGCATTATATTATTGAAACTGGAATTTCAAGAGGTTTGAAAAGCTAGCTAGATACTGGGTACAGGGCAACTACTAGTCGGTCACTCCCGACAAAAACCAGGTAGCTGAAAAAACCCAAATGAAAACGATTCAACAAAATAAATTGTGCGATTACAACTATATAGAAAAGTCGGTTTTCAAGGTGCTTAGAGCAATACTTAGCTACTGTGGGAGTGGAGTCTATGAGCCCAGTTAATTGGCGGCGATAACTTGAAGTGTTGGCATGCAACACAGCAGGTCTTTGAGCCAAATTGGCCAAGTGTGTCATTGTTGGGGCTGCGCTCTGAATGCTGCTACGCTCCATGGGTGGCACTTATCGTCGGCAACGGAAGTGGAACGCCAGACACACACACACACACACACACACACACACATTTAATTTGTTGTATAAAATATCGTTGTTTTATTTTTGCTTTAATATTTTTCAATGACCTTTTGGGCCATGGCACGAATGCCAGTCCAGGTCTCGCTGACATATGGCAGAATTTGTGCAGTGGTGGGATCGAAGCCACTGCCGCCAGCGGGCAGTTCCATGGTAATGGAGACGGGGAATTTGCCCACGCCAAATGCGTAATCATCGCTGCCACCGGCGGCGGCATAGAGCACATTCGTGGAGCTGCCGACGGTGTATTTGGTACCGGTGGATTCTTTGATGGCAGCGGCACCCGCTTGGGCCACCTCATCGTGGGCACGCCAGTCACTGGGCAAATCGCTAAAATCAATCAATGGAACAATTAGCAGGTATTTGAGTCAACTGCTTGGTTTACTCACGACGTCCAGCCCCATGGATAGAGCAGGTAGTTGCCGTACGAGTGCAGCGTCAGATAGAACTTGCCACGGCCCGAAAAGCTGAGCATCAAGTCGCGAACGATTTGGGTTTCGGGCTCGGAGAAGGCCGTCGTGCCCCTGAAGGTATCGGCGCAGGAGTAGGTGGAGGCGCCCACCTCACCCCAGTGGAAGTCAAAGTTGCGATTGGCATCGGTGCCATAGCAGGAGCTGCCCGCCGGCTTGCGCGTCTTGCGCCACATGCGCGAGCTGGTGTGCGTGTGCTCATAGCCATCGGGATTGACCACGGGCAAAATGACCCAATCGTAGTCCTTCAACAGATCGGCATTGGACGCAAAGTTCTCCACCAGCTGATAGATGACAT